TATAATGATATTTTTTACGTTTGGAAACGTAATTATTATCATGTAATAGATACATGTAAGCTAATTTGCCTGCATTAATTAAAGAAAAATATATTGTTTGTATTCAGTGTATTTAATAGGATTTGGTCCATTGTGTTCTGTGTCTAATTTAAATTAAATCCGAGTAGCGGTCTGTATACACTTTTTCTGATTTTTAATAGTACTATATATCCTAAAAAACTAACCGGTTGAATAATTAGGTACATTCTTCTTCAAAAGGATGTATTGAGGTTTCTTAAAGGTCGACAACGCGCGCGTGACGTCCCTGGTGTTACAGACGTCCATAGGTTATGGTAACCCCGTTTACCATCAGACGAGCCGTATGCTTGTTTGCTAACGTAGTAGTATAAAAACAATAAATTATAGAGTAATATTATTTCAAATATATAAGCTTTCAAATTGTCTTTGTAACAGAAGTGGAAATTGGATGACTAATAGGTACTAAATAAGATCTTTTTTTAATTAAAAAAATAATATGTGATTATGTTTATGCAGCATTTAAATTGCTTAGAGAAAGAATAATAATAATACTCATAATCTAAATTTTTTCATTCGTACCACAATTAAGTATGAAGTCTCTAATTTTTGATAAAAAACTTGTGTTTCAGGAGTCAATGTCCTTTCCTCTATAAATACTGGTTGGTGACTATATACGTATGTAGTTATAAAAAGCATTCTGTGATTGAATGTATATATCAAAGTACAGCCTAAATATGTAGTTATGGGATAGAATCCTTTTAATAAATGTTGTTCAAACTTTCGTGTGTACTTGAAAATATACAAATAGACTTACATAATTTTTTTTTATTTACCACAAAATTATATCTAAGTTAATTCGGTTATTTTTACATTTAAAATAAGAAAGGTGTTTCTTTTTTTTTTAAGTTCAATGGGAATGTTCGAAAACGGGTTTCGGGCATACGAAGTCACTGTAAACAGTAGGTATGAATTTTATGTTTTGTGTTCATTCGTGACAGTATCAGAAATGAGATACAGGTACACTCAATTATATTAAGGATTCTTTTAAGCTTATGAATAAAAAGTCATTGCTCTTAGATCATGAGATCAATAATGTCATAAATACAGTTATTCATTCCATTGTTCTCTCCAATTCAAATCTGTCCACAGAGTGAATATTAATAACTGTATATAAATACATACATACAGATAAAAGTATGTGGTTGTAACACACCTACGTACCTTAAAAGTAATCAGTAATAGCTATATATAATAAACAAATAAAAAAAATTCGATGGAATTGGACTTATATATTTTTATTAGATTCAAAAATTCATGTTACGTGGTTACGTCGTCGATTCTGATCCCATTTTCATATTACTTAATTTTGTATCCATTGAATTCATCGTTTTTCTTGTCCAGCCGGCCATTTTTGTGGAGTAAAATGTGTATTGCACGACTCTGTTATATAAATTATCTTCAATTTAACCCTTATTTGCATAATGGTGGAAATTTCCATCATAATATTGAATGTCCAAAAATTATATAAAAGAACAAGTTCATTTTAAGTTGATCGTGTTTGGATACCTTTTTAATGTCCATTGCAGAAAAAAAAACAGCTGTTAAATTTAGTTTTTTAATCATTTTTCCTTTAATTTTGAACATGAATTATATCACCTTGATTTATTTCACCAATAAAAAAAAAAACATGCAAAGAAGGGCTATCTACAAAGAATGTATAGATGTCGCTATTTGGATATAAAATGTTAAACTTGTCAAGAAAAGTTTGGAATTGTATTGATTCCAAGGTTATTTAATTGTTTAAAATGGATTCCTATTACTAATATTCTAAATGTAAAAGTTTGTAAAAATGTATAAATGTTTCTTATTTAGTCATGTTTTAAATAGCTAGTAGGGGTGTTATAAAGGTTCCTTCTTTTCAATTGACTTCAAAAACAAAAAAAAAATTAATTGATCATAATTTTAATGACACCTAACTGCGTCATTTTTTTTTTAGTTTACTTTGATGATTTTTTCCATCGAAATTTAATGTGATATTGATAGATAATATTGGAATTGGTATCTTGTGAGAGAAAAGGTTAAATATACTTTTTATTATACTTACTTCAAATATCTAGCTGGAAACAAATACTTCAAACTAGATGTCAATAGTTAAAGGAAGTCACCGTCAATTACTGGATAATATTACTACGTAGTTGCCGAACTCGCAGTCGGTCACACTAATTGTAGGGCGGCTCCAACAAAGACTGTGATCCAGTTCGTACCAGTTGTCGTTGCGCTTGCATTACGTTGATTATAGACCCCCAAGGCAGCCAAGCAGTGGATGATTTCCTATAACAACAAACACTGCGCGAACACTTCATGAACGATTGCTAATTGCCAAAAAATGGCATTACGAAGCATGATTGTTTCGTAATCGTTAGGCGACTTAACTGCGCTGTACTCCGATAAGTATAGTCATTTGCGATCTAGTGGCAAAAGACAGAATGAATTCACATCTCAATAGTTCTGCAGAGACAATTTTCGTACGTTCCATAATTGTATTATTGTATTATTTATATTATATAATTGTATTATTATTATAATTATATTATTTATATTAAAAGAGTTTCTAATATGATACAGAAAAATAAAAAATCAAACTGTTTGAAAGTCTTGGGAGGTCTTTGTAAAGGAATTTAGAACAATATGGTACAGTCTAAATTTAGGACGGTAATAGGAGCGCTCGTAGTTAACTCTTATTAACTAATTGTTAGTAGATGTGCTGCTATATTGTTGGAACAGCCAATTTAAATTAAATTTATTTATTTATTACAATTACAATTTTTTTTTATTACAATTTTTACAATTTATATTCAACGAGAAAATATCTGCATTACCATTAGTAGTTACCAGTCTAAATTTCTTGATAAAATCGCGGATATCGCTGATTGAAAATTATAGATCATCATCATCATAATAGCTTTTAATTGTTCATTGTTGAACATAAGTCTCCCCCTTAGGGGGTTTTGCTAGTAGTTGCCATACTTGGCAGGCGGATTGGAAACTGCAGTTAGGCTTTGGTTGAGATGACATGTTTTAAGACGAACTCTGCTTCCCATCCCTCGACTATTAAGTTCCCTTAGTCGTCTCTTACGACATCCACGGGAAAGACAGGCCTATTCTATGCCGAGGTCACACAGAAATTACAGATTATATATTATAGATGTTCAACACAAATTAAATCCCTAATGACCATAAGGGTACCGTTATATACAAGTTCTACATATTTAGTTTTTATCTCATTTTCGTTTTTTTTTTTATTCTTTGTAACTTTGATCTGAAATAGATATTCTGTTTTCAATGGCGTTGAATGATTTCTTGTCTCGTTTATTTGTTATTTTTTAATTCTTTGTAACTTTGAATATTTTTACTTTGTAAATCTGAATTAGATATATTATTTTGTTAAGGAGTATGTTTTTGTCGATATACTCGTAATCTGAACGTAATGGGACTTGTAGGGACAGTAAATTGCTTTTTTGATATATATTTTTTCTATGATATTTTTCAAGTTTAAAGCGGTCAATGAGCAAAATAAGTATTTAAGGTTGATATTACAATAATATTGTTTATGAATATGAGACTTTGGCTATATGACGATATGTATATAATTGGATGCAGGCAGAATGTAGTACCTATGCATGTATAAACTAATGATGATTTTGACTAGACATTATATAATCTGGCTTTAAGTAGTACGAGTATTATTCATATGTTTTGTATTGAGCAACATATGAATAATACTCGATATTGAGAAAACAATTTATTTTAAGTCTTAATTGTACAACACTAAATATTAATGTTGTACAGATGACTTTGAGAGCAAATGAAATAAAAATGTTTATTCGTTTTAATAGAACTTAATAAAAATATAAACAAACGAATAACTGCTATTGTCCAATAATAGTGCAAATTAAAAATCGATAAACTGATTGAAATTATCAATTTTTTTTTTAATTGTATTTAGAGAGCATTTCTGTGATAATTTCAACAAAACTTTATTACCTTTTCATTTAGTTGAAATAGGCTATACAACAGCGGTATACTGTCTGATAATTCCTTAAATATCCTGACACAACTCACTGAAGGGTCTGCGCGTTTTTATTGATTTTGGGTGAACAAGGCGAAGAGGGTAACCGTAGCGTATTTAAATATATAAGAACCCACATCTAACTAAGTCTATATATCTACTGAATATCTTAAACCGCAATTTATATACAAAAAGTAAATATTTAAATGAACTCTTATGCCTACTTTCAGAGAATAATTTAACGGTTTTAAAATAAAAAAAACTAATAGAACTAATACAACAAGGATATCTCTCTTTCTCTCTTCCGTTGCTTATCTCGTTTTATACTTAAATAAATTTTTAAGTATTTTATAAGGATTTATTTAGTTTTACCTGATGATTACTTACTACTACTACAAATCAACTCTTACAAGTTAAACTCCTGATACTTGATAATAATAGCTCCTGATGGACAAACTCATGTCGGTCCTCGTTCGAGCTGAAATGTTACATACGTTATATGTTGAATTACAATACAATAGTATCATTGCTGATCTGATGACGATACTATAAGGGGTTGATAAAACTAGTAGGAACAAATTTTTAGATTTTACTCTAGTGACCTTAGTGGTACTGTAAATAGTTTTTTTTTTTATAATATATGTACTCTTACAAATCGATGTAAACTGGATAAGCGGGAACAGATCGCAGGGATTTAAGAAATTACCAAAATATGGAGGTTCCCAAATCATATTTTTTGTTCCATTCACTCTTTGCCCTCAATACCCATTTGTTAATCCATTGTAAATTGTTGCCATTTTTCTCAGTGGAGCAAAAAATGTTTCCTTTCTTATGATGTAAATGGATTTATATTAGTTATAAAAACCTGCAAAATTTCTGATTAGTAATATGTGATTTATGTGATTTTTTTCAGAAACTACCATACCCAAAATCAGTTGGATTTATAGTCATAAATGAGTTCTGCGAGAGGTTTTCATACTATGGATTGCGAAGTAAGATTTTTATTGCTTTATCATTGACATCAATTTTATCGAGATTATTCGCCTGTTACAAGTTTCAAGTAAATACCTCCTGACTTAATTAACATATTTATAAACCGCATACCTTTATATGTTTGTTTTTCTGTATTTAGTATCTTGTGATGGTTATAAATATGTTATATTACTATTTTTACCTACTGCACATTTAAATGATAAAGTATTTAAATACGGATATTTTACAGAAATTATATTGTACTTATTACTATTACACAACTACTAGTCAAAAGCCTGATTAATAATAATAAATTCACACAGGCAAAACACAAGATGTTTTGAATTTGGCGTATGTTGATTTACAAATACATAATAATTATTTATTATTTAATTTCAATAAGGTTATAAAATTATATAAACCCCAAAGGACGTGTATTCAAATCGAACTGATATTGTAAACTTTATATGTCAATTTAAATTTACGACTGACTCTCAGGTGAAAGAAAATACCGTTAACAAACCAAATTTTGTATGAAAGACAGCGATAGGCTCCCGTTCTAAGATATTGGATTCAAATATTTCTAAAAAGTCGTGGTTCATGTCACAATAATGCTTCTGTATTCCCCTCAAGGTTTCCAGTTTCGAGGATATTTATTGATTAATTTTTGCCTATATTTGTCTTAGGCAGTAAGATTATAATAAGCTATATTTGTAATAGATATATTAAAAGTACGTCTTAATAAACGCTGGTAGGATGACGTGGAAGATAGTGCTGAACTGTTAGAACAAACTAGCCACTTATTAATGAGACTGGAATAAAATGGGCTAAATAAAAAAAATATAAATTATTTATTAGGTTATAATTAAATAGAATCGTTAGAGAAGTAGAACACATGATTATTATTAGGTTGACGACATAGGGAATACCAATATTATATCTATTAAAATAATCAGCACTTAAGTGTGACCTCTAAGATTTACTACCAAGACGAATTTTTATTATTGCTGAAGTATTACTGTCGAGTAGATATTGTTACAATTGGCAGTTGTCAATAACATGAAACCTTGTGTTTACCAAATGCACTTAACAATGTTAATGCGTCATACTTACTCGTATTTTATTTATTAAAGGACATTACCTATAGAAAGTTATAAGTCAATTACACGCCAATTATATGAAATGAAGGTTATTCTTGTTTCAGAACTGATGCACTCCATTCTATCTACTAGGGTCAATAAACGTCTTGTCACAATTTGTTCTAATAATTTCTTGATATAGGGAATGAACTAAAGTATTACAAATCACTAAATTCTCAAGTCTTAAAAATATAGACATGTAAGTTCTCTTAAATGTGTGATTTTAATTGTGTGAGATTAAATATTCTATATACTTAGGAAATGTCATGTATAATCGGTTAAAACTACGCTGTTTTAGCAATTAGATACTAAATATTCTAGAAGTCAAACTTGGAGATGAACATTTTGCTAATTAAAATAGTCAAATTAGTGTTATAAATTTTTATTTCTGTTTAGATATTTAGCAATTAATAATTACAATTTGTTATAGATATAATTGAAATATAAGAGTCTAATTCCCAGTAAATGACAAAAATAATGGATTGCATTGAATAGATATAACACTAACACAATACAGATTGAAATAAAGTTACTCGTGTATAGCAACGTAATATTAAACATATCTTAAGAGCACATTAGGTGTAAATAGCCCATTGTTTGTTAAGGACATAATTAATAACGTCATTTTAGTTTTCCCATTTATGTTCTTATACTTTCTTGAACGTGCATGGCTATGAAGAAATATTTTAGAAATATATCTACGAGATACGAGCAGTATCTAACCTTGGCTTGGATTTTTTTAAAAAGGTTAACTATTATGATTTGATTTCTATATTTTAATAGTGATCCTGTATAATAAACTATTATCACACCACCTACATTATAGCAAAAAAAATGCAGTTCTTATATGCATTTAAATCAGTTTAGAATAATATTTAAATATCTAATCTTACTAAAATTATAAATAGAATCATACTTTAATAATTATGTTTTAAAGGGTTGAGCCGTTATTAATGGAATATGGTGCAGAGACAGACCATATTCTAGGTTAATACATGAGATACTTTTTATTTCTATTCTTATTCACTTCACGGGAGTAAAGCAACATTTAAGGTTATTAGAAATTAGTAACCTTTAACGATATTTGTGTAAAAATACACCTTTAGATAATTAAGTTTATTAATAAAATTACATATCACCGGCGAGTTGGTCGAAAATATAAATTGATACTCTAAGTATTTGAAATAAGATTCAAAATTACACTAAAACCATGTTTGTATCAGTAAATCACTAAGTCATGACACTCCAGGCTAATAGGCTAGTAATAGTAACATCATCATTATCATCATATCACTCTTTAACTGTCCACTGCTGTACATAAACCTCTCCCTTGGGGGTTTTACCAGTAGTTGTCATGCTTGGCAGGCGGATTGGCAACCACAGGCTTTGAAGTTGTTTTAAGTGGGACACTGCTGCCCATCCCTCGCCCTCCCATAGTCACCTATTACGACACCCACAGGAAAGGAAGGGATAAACTATTCTATACCAGAACCACACGGCGAAGCAGTAGTATTATCTGTTTTAATAGAACATAAAGAAGCTAATCAAATTTCAATCAATTACCCGATTTTTGTTTGTGCGATTCGATATTATTGGACATTGGCAGACTGCTTTGTGGTTGGAACAATTAATTGTTTATTTACATTTTCGTGAAGTTCTATGGAAACTAATTATAATATTTAGATAATTGAATTATACCTAATAATTTTCAGCAATACTCTCACTATACCTCCGTGATAAGCTCCACTACAGTGATAATGGTGCCACGGTCATATACCACGTGTTCACAATGTTCGCCTACTTCTTCCCAGTCCTCGGTGCGATGATTGCTGACGGATGGCTAGGCCGATTCAGGTAATCACTTTTATAATTCCAATATACCTCTGAAAATTTATCTAAAATAAAAAAAAAAATATCACGAAACATGTTGTGTAGGCGTTTATGATATGTATTTTGGCGGGAAAAGAATATCGCATCATCGACAAAACTAAAATCATGTTTTTTATATAGATTAAACTTGGTATTTAATTCTATAAATATTATGTATACATACATGTACACGATATTTAGTGAAAATGCCGTGATAATTTGTTTACATTGTGAAAATGCCGTGATAATTTGTTTACATTCGTAAACAAATTATCACGGCATTTTCACAGTAGTCAGTGAGTTTATTTGTATTTATTTTTATACCCAGAAAACATTGTTTTGCCTCTTATCGCCACCTACTGGGCTCTTTTTTTTATTAGGATAAAATCTATACTATCTGTCAAGCTGGAACCAACAATATACGAGTATCTTTACAAAATTTCATATCAATCGGTTAAGTGGTTTCAGAGATTTGTATAAACAAACATCGTAATACGGGATTTTTACATATTAAATTATAAGAATTATAAAATAAAATAAATATTTTTAGAAAGATAAATTATAAAATCAAGTCTGTTAAGTACCTACAATCTCCAGCATCGACAATAATAAATAAAGTAATACTTGTATACTTTGATTCAATTAATTGTATTATATATTAATTATTTACAGTTATTCATTAATAAATAGTCAATAATATAATTTGATAATTAATTAATTGTTTGACCTACCAATTATAATTATTTATGAGCTATGAATTTGATATATAGCTTGTTAGATATCAAAGTAAATCACAATTCACATTGCTATCTATGTTATTCATAATTTGAACTTCGTGTTAATTGCGATAAACAATAAAGTCCACTCACATTCAAGAGATCATTAAAGAGAATGTTTATTTTACTTTTAAAATTACTTTTAACGTTTTAATGATCAACAGGTATACGGAAATTCTCAATGTGAAAGTAGGGGTCTTTTAGCAGTATTTTATTATGCCTATGACGTTGTTCAAGTCTATAGCTAGAACTATAATTATAAAAAATAATAGTTTTTATGGCCGATAAAAAGAACCAAAGATATACAACTTAAAAAACGAAAGCGTTTCCATAATAAATAGGTTTTAATTTTATTTGGATAAAAATTTATTTAAATTAATAAAAACTTATTTTAAACATTTATAATTAAAATGTCTATCATAGGACGAGGTATGTATAGGATTAAATGTTTGTTGTAATAAGATACTAGGCCTTTTACAAAATCTTTATAAAATATCTTTACAAAATTTGTAACAATACATCGGCATATTTGACTAGAAACCGTATAATTTCAATGCCATTTTTAGTCTCTGACTGTTTATATAAGGTTTGTTCTCTTATATATGTATTAACTAAAATTACGAAAAATCGAAATAATAAACTACGATAATAAGTAAAAAAATTAATGATATAAATGATTTTTAAACGAAATCCTATAGTACATAATACTTTAAAGGCTGATTAATAGAAATTGAACATGTTTTCAGGACTATAGTTTACTTATCATTAGTGTACGCGTCTGGCAGTGTATTAATATCACTCACAGCTATGCCGCCAGTTAATCTGCCACCATTGTAAGTATTTAATCAGGTGTCTACACTTAGTTTACTTAGCATATGTTTTTATTTCAATAGCTACATATTAAACAAAATTAACAATGACATCTACATTCATTATATGATAATATATTTTTTTTATTCAAGCTAATCCTCCAAAAGTATATAATATAATTATTATAAAGTATAATATAAGTATAATACAATTTATTTAATGCATCAAAACAGAATCATGAAATATTTACAATACAAATATTTATTTACATTCATAAATACTTGTAGTATCTGCAAAAGAGTTTATTGAGTAAAGAGGGAAATAAACAGCAATTAATAAACTTTTGAGATGAGCATCAACACCTTACTCTTTACTTACTTGTATTTTTTTTTTTAATAATGGAATGGTAATCCTGCCTGCACTATTGGTATACGTTGGCGAGGCACCAGTGAGAGATGATAGGTGAAAATGAAAAGACAGGTCAGTTAGTCCATCGTAATGAATTCCTCTATAATTAACCACGATGGTTTCCAGAAGGAAACGCATAGAGGTCGACCTAATTTGACTTAGTATTGCTAGCAATGGGTCAGTTAGACCTCATTACTAGCAATCGGTTTCCCCGCTACTTATATTAGACAAGGTTTCCGTACCCAATACAAATAAGCAATTAGATCGTATAAGTTAAATTCTTTGGAACTGGCGAATATCTCCTATCAGAGAATTTCATAAGTGGGTGAAATAAAATAGGACCTTGGCAATCTATTCTATCTGATAACCTTACCAGGTCACTAACATGAGGATTGATAGGTGTAAAGGTATAATGTAATTTATTCTTCAATAAAAAAGAATAAATAAAATTCTTTAAACAAGTATCACCCTATCGGATTGTATGACAATCCAGCGAGGATACACAATGTTCTTGGCACTACTCCAATTGGCCAAGACCTCTGACCTTTGAATCTTAATATTTTTTAAATGTCTTTCTGGCCTTTTTAATAAACTTATTTTACAAATAATATTTTAAATGATTTATTAAATGAGAAATTAAAATACAACTAAACTGAAATAAAACAATGCTACTTTCTTGCAGAGAATTTACAATTATCGCATTACTCCTGATCGCATTTGGTACTGGTGGTATAAAGCCATGTGTGTCTGCGTTCGGAGGAGATCAATTCAAATTGCCCGAACAGGAGAAATATTTGGGTTATTTCTTCTCACTGTTTTACTTCTCTATCAATGCTGGTAGTCTTATATCAACATTTATAACCCCAATATTAAGAGCCGACATACACTGCTTCGGGGAGAACGATTGCTATTCGTTGGCATTTGGTGTTCCTGGAATACTTATGGTTGTTTCTATTCGTAAGTTATACTATTTATTTATTTGGTTTTATTCATTTCTCTTTCTGAAAAGACCTAAAAGCTAAAGCTACGTTGAAATATATTAATATAGTCTTCTTTTGTAAATAGAAGAAGCTTGCTTTGACAATTGTTTTAAGGTACATCTTACTAACGGTTACACATTATTTAAGATATTAAATTTCAATATTATTAGTATAAATAAATACTTATATTATCGCTTCAGAATCAGAGAAGATATTGTGTAAAAAAAAACATAGAAGAATTGAGAATTTGCTCCTTTTTAAAATCGCTTAAAAATATTAGCTACGTTGTTATACGCTGTTATACTTAATTAGATAATTATCAGTAATAAATCGGTTACCATGTAATTTTACATACTGATTAATTCGAAACTAAATAAAACATTACTTTTTATTTTAGTAATTTTCTTAGCTGGAAAAAGATTATATACAATCAAGAATCCAGCTGGAAATGTTATAGGACGAGTTGCTACCTGCATAAGTGTAAGTAAACGTTGTTAAATAATAGTAATTATAAGTTAAGCAATTATCTATCTAAATAGAGGCCCAGAAGGGTCTCACTTATCCGTATATTGTCTTTATTAAATTTATTGTATCAGAGTTCTCCTGGAAATATGGTAAAAATAATTACTCTCTTTAAATTTTGTTGTGTGTAATAATAATAGTTTTGGTAACATTTAGTAGAAACTTTCTTAGTAAAGGTGTCATTTCATAATAACGATAACAACGCGCGCGTAATACCTCTGGTATTGCAGTCGTTCATAGGCTACGGTAACCGCTTACCATCAGGTGGGCCGTATGCTTGTTTGCCACCTCAGTGGTATAAAAAAAAACGATAAATTGAATAAATACCTATGTGGGATAGGATGAGTCAAATTATATCTACAATATATAGTTATATTGTAGATATATGTTAAATAGAAATTATTAGTATTATTTTATGGAAATGAAAAACTATATTTTTTTTACAAAGAAATGTGAGTCGACAATTTTTTTTTACAAAGAAATGCAGTCGACAAATGACAACTGGCCGGGTCCTGTCAGTATGGGAGACTCAAAACTTTTTTGTTAATTTTTAATATATATTTCATTTAGAAAAATGTTTATTTACCCTACTATTTTATTTTTAACAATATTATTAACGATGTACAAAATGCTTATTTTATGATATCAGAATTTTATTTAAAGAGTACGTTTACCGGTTTTTCAATTTTTTTTCCGTTTGAAAATACCTTTATCGAACTTACCCGTGAGAAAAATTCTGTTATAATTCTAGCATGCTGTCTGCAGATCTTTCAAAAGTAAAGAAAAACGCGAACACTGGTTGGATCATGCGGATGATAAGTATGATACAGGACTTATCGAAGACGTCAAGTCTCTTCTCAGAGTCCTTGTACTTTTTATACCATTACCAGTCTTCTGGGCCTTATTCGATCAACAGGTAAGTTGAACTATTTTTCTATTTACCTTCACCATATAAACCTAATTAAGAAATAAAAAACTACAGAGGTTTATTTGGGATACATTAAAATATACTCCTGGATAATATGCTTAAAAAAGCCAGGCAAAGATGTTTTTGGTTCAATAAAAGCAGAGAACAATCCTAATAAAGTTGATACTGATACCTATAAAAAACCACATTAAAATATGTTCACCCCTTAAGGAGCTACGATTACCTTGTAATACTCAAAATTTTGCATTGCTATTATTAATAAAATTCTTAAAATATAATCACAAAATGTAAATCAATAAGCTTTATACAAACTAAAACACAAACATATACATTGATACAAAAGTTAAGATTGTTTTTTTGTATAAATATAAAAAATAAAAGTAACTATTTCAATGTGTGAAAATATTGTCCCGTTTTAATTAGGTAAATATACGCTGCAATTACTAACAGTATCCTAGAACTGTATATTATATGAGCATGTACTGTGCACATAATTGTTTTACCTAACCTAGGTAGGTATATATAGTGTAGGGAGGCGCCAAATTAATCATTATACTTGATTGCCTATTAAATTGTCACTGCCACTACCACGCTATGACTTGTAACAGTACAATGCACGAATACAAATAATATTTTGGTTTTACAATCTGTAACTACCTATTTTTAATATAAATAGAAGAAATCTATTTACATGAATTTAATGTGTATTTTATAAATTTATAAAGAATTTTTTATATAAAATCTAGCTATAACTTCGTCCGAGTGATCATGATACGAGTATGATCATCGATTTTATTTATAGATATCTATAGATATTGATAAGTTTAAGTTTATAATATTGATCTTGGCGGTGTAATGGTTTGATATGCCACATCAACGTTACTGGTTCTATCCCAGTACAATACAACATGTACACGAGTATGTATGTTTGTATTAGGCTGGGTGCTTTTTGCGTACTTAAATATATTTTTTGTAAATACAAACATACTGAATGTATTTAAAAAAAATCCTATCAGTCATTTTTACTCATAGTACAAACTCTGTTATGTTTGTAAATTAGATAGCGCTTTGTAGTACGTGAAGTTGTATTATTATTGTGAACTGCTGGCAAAATGAAACGCCTTTCAATAAGGGGAAATTGCACTAGCATCTTAATGATAAAAAAATGAACAACAAAAAGAATAAAGAAAAATACGAGTATAAAAAACACAAACTACAAAAGAGTTTGTAACAATTATTATTATCAAAATTTATTGTTGAAATAATTTCAATTGCAGGGTTCGAGATGGACTTTCCAAGCAGACCGTATGAAACAGGATATCGGCAGTTGGACACTTAAAGCTGATCAGATGCAAGTGCTCAATCCATTGCTCATCTTAATTTTTATTCCCTTGTTCGAAGTGGTAAGTTGTTTATGAAATAGGAATAAATTATATTTACCATGTCATCAATAACTTACTATATATTGTTTACTATGTAGGTAATGAAGCAGTGGACAGTTAAAGGCTGATATGATGACGATGATGATGATATGTAGGTAATAAAATAATAAAGTTTATATCTCTTTGTTAAATATATTGATGAAAACTTGATAATAAAAAACTTATTTTATAGTCAAATTCAATAAAGTATACATTATTAAATGGAACTCAAAGACAACAGTAATATGGTATTGAATATATATATATATATATAAAAGATGATGATCACTATCATACAAGTACTTTATATTTGATTCAATGTCAGAATCATATACACTATAAATTTGCAAACAATTTATAGGTGCAAACGTAGATTTATACTTAATGGTAATAAAAACCTAAAATATAAATATTTATATCTATTGTTTTCAGGCAATTTATCCGTTCATGACTTGGTGCAAACTAATAAGGAAACCTCTTCACAAAATGATTTGGGGTGGACTTTTGGCAGCTTGTGCATTCGTTATTTCTGGAATAGTAGAATTGAGTCTACTTGTAAGTAAAAACATATTTATATTTACTATATTATATATTGTAAATATCTAATTATATACTTATTAAGTATATAATTTGATATTTTGATAACAAATTATTTTTATAAAAATTTTACAGTATTGCTAATCATGCTATTTTTGCTTTCTAGCCCACATACGGTACACCCGTATCAGCTGGTTTGGCACAACTTAGAGTTTACAATGGTTTCAATTGCAATGTTACTCTAAATTTAAATGATACTGGAGTAAATTCCACCGAATATATCATCACACCCTTATCTGCTTACGAGAATCTAGATATAAAGACAGAGCAATTCGTAGAGCTTCCGTACTCAATGCATGGACAAGTAAATAGCGAATGTGCTAATATTACGTTTAGTGGCGTGTTTCACCTTAAAGAGGAAACCGCGAACTCATTCTTTATCAAGCATGAAGGAGTACATGCCTTCACCGATAAAAATGACAAAGCAATAGACGGTGTTGGTGTCAGGTACGATATAATCCTTAATACCTATAACTCATCACGAATATTCGGTGTACAATATTCATTCTTAAAATACTTATTATATAAGTCTTCCCAAAATAAAAACATTCTATTTTCTAATACTGTATTAATTACTTTACTCTGTTTACTAATAAGGAGCATTTTGTCATTTTCCACAGTCATTTGTGGCCATGTGACATTTTCTGATTGACTAAGTGGCGTAGGTTTACCGGTCTTTGCGAAATTCGCCCACATCCTCGCTATGTACTTTATGAACAATCTATCTCGGTCGTAAAAGTTGCGATTCAGCTTTACATAATTTTCCCAATATGGTTCACACTTCAATATATAACATATTTCATCACCGCTGGACGCACCTTTTACATGTATATTTGTTTGAGATATCGATGTGGCCTTCATTGCATTAAATTTACCTACGTAATTGAATTTATATACATACATATTACCTTCTTTTATTCTCAACTGTGTTTTTATGAATTTTATTACTGGGTGAATGTGGAGATCGGATGCATATCGTAAAAATTTGTGAATAGAATTTTCGGAAATTTCATCCTCGAAATATTTGTTTTTTATTTTCATAGCTATTTCATTATATATGTCTGATGAATAACTATAACTGCATCCATCCGAGAAGGGAACCATAAATTTAAAATAGGTAGCAAAGGCTTTCAAATATCGAGGGTTATGCAAAAATGGAATTACTTCTGATATACTTTCCTGACTATTAAAGCCAATTAGTATAGAAATATTTAATTTCTTAACAGTATTATAAAATTCTATAGGCCTTTTAGTTAACAAAGATTTATTTGATTGCTTTTCAATTATTGGAGTAAATGGAACAACCGATCTTTGGAAATCCATGATTTCTCTACTACTATAAATCTTTTTTGCCGCATTAATGATATCTTTAGTAGAAGCTGTGAATACATCTTTTGAGGTTATCTTTTTCAATTCCTTCATAAATCTTTCTCGCTGTACCTTATAATCGCCTTGAAATATTGATGGTGAAAATATTGCACCACTTTGTAAAATCATTTTCGAAAATAATGTTTTGAATTTAGTCATTAACAGCAACGAAAGGTAAGTTGCAGCCGATCCGTTGCCCATGACAGTTATTTGATTTTTATCACCTCCAAAATTGTGAATATTCTTAGAGATCCATTTTAAAGCAAAAACTATATCTTTTAAGCCCATATTAACATTTATATCAGTGTCGTTTACTTTCAAAAATCCAAAAACACCTATTCTATGCGTAACACTTATGAATAAAATATCATTGTCTATAAGGAAATCAGCTCCATATACGTGACTAAAACTAGATGCAAATGCATATCCGTGAATCCAAACAATCACTGGTTTTAATTTTTGATGTAAATTATTAGGAAGATGAGGCGAGTAGATATTCATATTAAGGCAATTTTCAAATCCATATAAAGCGGGTTTATGAACGATATGTGCTTGAGCACATGCACCGTGATATTCAGTCGATGCGTCGTAAGGTTTCTTCCATTTCTTAAGAGGTTTTGGGTTTTTAAATCTAAGTTTTCCAATAGGAGTCTGGGCATATGGGATGCCATAAAATGCATAGTAAAGTTTTCCTTCAAAAACAGTTGCCTGTCTTGTGCCTATTATCTTTCCTTGGCTTACTTTAACTTCTATCTTGTAGGAATGTATTCGCATTGTTTGTAATATGAAGATAAAAAAACTAATAATTTTAAAAGAATATTTCAAATACATGACTCGTATTCTTTTCGACTACTGAACAACTGAGGAATATGGTTTATCAACAATAACTCACATGTGATTAAATTTCAGTCAACTGTCAAATGTTTTGATACCCTTTTTATTAAAAACTTTGTAATTCTGAACAAAACCTTAATTAATGATATCATAAAGTTAACTTTTCTTTATACACCTTCGAATCAAATCCGTTGTAATTAAAATTTGTTTTTGCGTTCCAGATTTTTATCAAACATTAATGGTGTTGTGCAGATAAATATTACTGATACACAAAATAGAACAAAACTTAGTCAAAATAGTAGTAACATGGATCAAAAAACTATTCAAAAAGGAAAAAGTGATGTTATAATAGACGGCGAAACAGTTTTAAAAGATTTCAACTTTCAGTCTGGCGCAGTTTATACTATCAACGTATATCAAGATAGTAATGGAATTTACGTAAGTTTTCATGAATATGGGACATATTTACTAATATTATCAATGCTCAAATTTAATGTTTCTGTTTATTAAGACTTATCGCTTTATCGGTCCAACCAATATTTGTGAAATTTGTTACACATACTCGTATACGATTTTGGATGAAGAAGGACATGAGCTATTAATTACCTCGATAAATTAGCACATTTTAATCCAATTATGCGGAAGAAGTCGCAGGTCAAATCTATGTATAAACATAATAAATAATTCAAGTCGTGGAGATTCTGAATTATCGGTCACTGATTGTTTTCTATGTTATCTATCTATCTACTATGCTAACCATGTGAAATGTATCTCTATAATCAAATTATAGAAAGTTTTATCTTGTAATAAAGTAGTGTTTAATTAGTAATGAAGTAAGAATGCAATAGATTGTTATCTATGTTATTATTTTACAGCCTACTTATTTCTCGGTTTGTCCAATAGTTGACTGGTAGAGAACACCGTCCGGTGTTAAGTCTGCTAAATGTATATAGAAATTTACTGTGCATTAAATTTTAAATAAATAAATTATTCATTTGGAGTATGTCTCAAAAAGCATACAATGAAAACAAAGCGTTATACACCAATACAAGAGATAGAAAATTCAAAATAAAACTTTTCACCAGACCGCCTGCACAACTTGATAATAATAGATTTTGTATGGTCCTGGCATAAAATAAGTCAACCCTTCCTTTCCTATGGGTGTCATAAGAGGTGATTAAGGGAATTTAATGGTCAAAGGATGGACAGCAGCGTACGTCTTAAAACATCATTAAAGCCTAACTGCGGTTGCTAACTCATCTGCCAAGCGTGACAACTAGTGGACTGTCTTATGTTTTTTTAATGTGTGATGATGGAATGGTAACCTCAAGCCTGCGCAATCGGTATAGCGGGGCACTAGTGAGTGATTATAGGTAAGATTATCCTGGTTGGGTATATTGCTAGCCTAGCCTCATTGGTCCTTATTCTCCATTATTAACAATCCCTTCCCCCCTCCATCTTATGGTTAGGTCAATTATTCGTTTCTTTGAAACAGACTATAATAGTAATGTAGACATTTTTTTTAGATAGCAAATCCAGTGATGATAACCCCAGCAAGCACAGTCCACATATTATGGTTGGTGCCACAGTACGTTATAATGACTATGGGCGAGGTGATGTTTTCTGTCACTGGCTTGGAATTCTCCTTCACCCAAGCCCCTGTTAGCATGAAATCAGTATTGCAGTCAGTCTGGTTACTGACGGTGGCGTTTGGAAATCTTATTGTTGTTCTCATTGTAGAAGGAAACTTTTTGGATGCCCAGGTGAGTTAATTATCATAAGTATTATAGTATCGTAGATATAGTGATTTGCTATGAGATTAAATAGCATCTTTTCTCATTCTTTTTAGATGTCCAGATAGATTTATTTTTATTATCAATATTAAACAAATTTTTTATATTTTTCATGGAACTGGTGGAATTTTTTTTTACATAAAAAACGTAAATAATTCTTAAAGAATGTTTAGATATACTTCACCTTTAATATAAGTAACATTTAATTGTTATTTTTCCTGAATTTCTGATTATACCAAAAAAATATGAAAATTCTCAAATATGTCGGGGGACAACAATCTAAACCAATATTATAAAAAGTAAAAACTAGATTTTTTGTTTATAATGGATAAACTGCCGTGTGGTCCCAGCATAGAACAGACCACCCATTCTTTTCCCGTGGGTGTCGTAAGAGGCGACTAAGGGAGGGCGAGAGATGAGCAGCAGCGCTCCTCTTAAAACATTTGCAAAGCCAATACGCCTGCCAAACGTGGCGACTACTAGCAATACCCTCCAAAGGGGGAGGCTTATGTTCAGTAGTGGACAGCTAAAGGCTGATATGGTGATGATGAATGGATAAACTGATTTTTTTTAATTATTTCACCTATAGAAAGCTACATTATCAACGAGTATCATAGGCTGTATTTTATTAAAAAAAAAGGCGTGCGAAGCCGGGACGAGACGCTAGTAACTGATAATTTTGTTATTCTGGTATACTGACTTATTGGTAAACTTAGACATTATAGTAGGTATACTAACATAATAATATAAAATTGTAATAATACCTATATTTACTGAATTGTTACAGTGGAAGGAATTCTTCCTATTTGCGGGGCTGATGATGATCGATATGCTCATTTTCACTGTGATGGCATTCGGGTACAAGTACGTGGACCTCAAGTCAAGTGTACAAGAACTGAACACTATAGAAGAGGTCAAGATGCCCGAGAAGTCAAATAGAAAGAGAGACAATTAGTTGTTATAATAAAGTTTTTATTAAATCACAGGCTCTGATTTATTATCTTTATTACTTTATTTATTATTATTTATTTACTAGCTGACCCTACTAATGATGTCGATTCTGATACGTCATTTCTCTAAACTTATCTCTGAAATTAGAATTTCAATTTCAGATCAAATCAAAATCTTGATGCTTAGAACCAATATAAACTAAATTTATAATAGATTTATATCTAAAATATTATAAATTTATAATGATTCATAAAACAGTAATTTCGCGAAACTATCAAATTATTATACTTATTATACAAGTTTAGAGCAATATGTTTAGGATTTATTATGATGTAATTTTGGAAATAATCAAATTAAAGACGGAAACTAATTTGTATGACTTTTATAACGAATAACCAACGAACGAACAGAGAACATGAATCAACTTATTTTTGACGCTTTCTTGGCTAACAAAAAAGAATCAGGCGTTTCAACACAATAACACCTCAGAATCTAGCCTAATGTTGTGAATATTTTAAAAAGTAACCAAATCAGTCTACCTGTTTTCGAGTGACGAGCAAAATTTCATATATATATATATATATATATATATATATATATATATATATATATATATATATATATATATATATATATATATATATATATTACACACAGTAATACAAATACCGATAAATTTATACCAATTGAAAATCATTTATTTATTTAAATTTTCTGTTCACATCACCATAAAAAAATAACTCGAATTATAAAAGATACAATTTTATTTCCCTTCATATAAATCACATGATCACGAGACCAAATTTATTTTTATTCAAATCGTGAAGAAATTTAAGATTATTTAATTGAACCAAATATCTATAATTTATACTTTGAATATTTAATATTAAAATATACATATATATGTACTATCTCAGATTGAAGAATTTTTAAGAATAAGATTACCTACACAAATTCGACGCATGTCGAATACTAACATAAAAAGCCGCTCGACACGTACAATCTGTTTAGTTAAATGGTATGAACACATTAGACAATTAGTTTTGGGTAATTTGTGTGTTGTTCCCATAGGAGCTCACGAGTAGCGACGGGTTGCGTTGTATAGAAGAGCCGCGTGACATCGGTTAACCCTCCATGTTCTGTCCTTGTTGAATGGGGTGCATTTGAAGGGAATGCTCAAAGTTTTACTAGATACGATGATTTTTTTTTAGTAAATGTACATGTTTTGTAATTTCTATAACATGTATATACTCGTATCAATATACCTATACCCCACCTTGTGATGGTCAAGGAATCGATTCCCATACAATACAAACACTTGCATTAATGAGTATGCCAATAATATGAATCAATGACAATAATAATAATTAATAGATGTCTATTTTATACAAAAAATATAATAATGAGGTCATTTTATATCGTATATTATTATTTACAAGGAAATATAAATACTCTTGCACTATACTTTTTAAAAATAATTTCTTATATTTATATCATATCATAACAGGTGTTATTACACGTGTATGCCAGTGTATTTGTGAAACAACCAGGAAAGCAATCAAAAAGGCATCTTATATACATATAAATATAATACAAATAAATTTTTTAAAGAAAAACAAAACCTGCTTAGATTTTATTTTATCTACGGTACACTTGACCGGTTTCTTTATTTTGTAATTAAATATCTATTTTATTCTTTTTTTATAATACAGAGAGCAAAAGAGCATGCGGCTAATCTGATAGTAACTACTGTCGCCTATGAGCACTCGCAACACCATAGGAATTGCATATGTACTGCTGGCCTTTTAAAAAGGAATATTCTATTTTTTTAAAGGTTATGTATATATTAATGTAATATAATATTTATATCGATCTCTCATAGTACTGCACAATACAATTAAGTACGTATTCCTTATAAAATATATTTTTTTCTCCACAAAATAAAAAAATTCAATTAAGTTTGAGAACCACGTACTATTGAAGTGCCCAGAGCTGCAGACGACTTGTTAATAATTGCGTATAATAAATGCTTAAATACAACAAACAGACAAATACGGGTAGGGGGATCAATAAGGGCCGATTTTGTTTCCAGTCTATTGACGACATCCGTGGACCAAACAGCATCTAGATAGATATTTTATTGTTTGTCAAAAACTGCAGAATATTTGATTGACGTTACACTTAGGTTACAACATTAATTTTTTAATACGTTTAAAAATTGAGACGGATTATATTAATTTATTACGAGGAAGGCTTATGATCAGCAGTTGACAGTTAATGGCTGAAATTATTAAATTAATTTAATAAAAAGAGTTAGTATTTTATGCAACTAAAAATGGGAAACAAGTTGACGTTCCACCTGATAGAGGTCGCTTTTAGAGATGAACATCTTTATGGAAGTCACAGTGTACATTGTAACACTAATGGTGTGAGGGGTATGCTGCTATTGATGATGATATAAGCCGTTAGTGTTCACTGCTGAATATAGGCCTCCCCTAATTGGGGGGTTTTGCCAGTAGTTGTCACACTTGGTAGGCGGATTGGCAACCGCAGTTAGGCTTTAGTGATGTTTTAAGGGGGAAGTTGTTACTCATCACTCAACTATTTAGTTCCCTTAGTCGTCTCTTACGACATCCAAGTTTTAATTTACGCAATTCGTCATCAACAATTCATTATGCTATATTTAATTAAAAGTATTTCAAGCCTATCCTAACTTACCACATAGTATATCTTATATATTTAAATACGCGGGTGAAGCCGTACGATATAATAAATAGCTAGTATTTTATAAGCGTGAAATACTGGAATGTTGTCATTTTCATTACAAACAGAGAAATTTTTGTGGTCAACATAAATACTTCAGAATTAAATAACGACAAGATTAATTAAGTGCAGACAGAAAAACAGTTTTTGGATAGGCGTCAGTACATGTTCCGGGCACTTTGAAGGGCACGCGGCGAGTGCACGGGCGCACACGGCCGACACGCGGCCACGGCCACGCGACCGCACTACAAAGAACACCCGGACCGCTTATGCACCCGCCGGATAATCTTAGCTGGAGCATACGCACACAAATAAATAAATTAAAGCCAATCATAGCTCGTGATAAAAAAACCGCAGAACACGAATGTTGGTTTTAGGATTTAAATTAAATCTCATGTGAATTTTTTTATTTTTCAATGTCCCTAATACGTAACTGATGGTAATTTCAAATGTGACTAGTTATGGTTTTGACGACATCCTCGGCCTAGTTCTACGTGAATGAGATTCAAGGATCGATTTACCCTACTGAGCATTTCGTAAATAGATCCAAAAATCGATCGGTAGGGTTAATTTAGGAAATTAACTTTTCTGACATTCTCAAGATAGCAGATTTCCTGTTTAAGGATCGGTCAGTAGATAGATGAGATGATGATTCCTTTCCACAGCTTTCTAAATGGCTTGGGGCATCCTCACATAGTGTTCAATTAGTTTTATTCATTAATACCGGTAACAAGCACTGGATAAGACTTTCGTCTTTAAATTGTGGTGTTATGGATGAAAATATAGGTAAGTTAATAAGGTACAGAGGAATAACATCTGAGTCCTCAGAAATGGCAACGCATAGGGTATATACTGTTTCGCCCATGATACTCTGTTATGTTCATGGCACCGCTCAACTCTCTATGCGACGGCTATCACTTTCCATCAGGTGAGCCGTGTCAGCGTGTTTGCCATTATAAGTTGTATAAAAAAAATATTTGATACTTAAAGTAAAAGCGGTCAAGTAGGAACTAAATAGCCCTCACAAATGTACAACACAAGTAAAGCTGAGTGTAGATATATTAATATGTTAATTTTTGTTACTTATGTAGTTACTTATTAATTTAATTACATTTAAATGATAATATCGTGTTATATTATGTATTTATTTTATAATTAATTTGTTTTCAGTTTACTTTTTTTTTTAAAAAAATATACTTCCAACTTATCTAAAAAGGTTTATTTTGAACACCGAGTTTGTCGCCTTTTTGAATTTCTCTTTAAGTACAACACAACTTCAAATCTCACGAGTGTGATCGTAAAACTATCAAACATATCGTAGGGGGCGTGGGGGACGGCGTGTGGTCGCGTGGCGCGCCACTCGCAGCTCGCGGGTTCGCTTCCACGCCGCGACAAATCAATTACAAGGGCAAATCGGGCACGACTTCCGAATACGAATTAGCGCGAAATTATAGTCGTCCGCGAAATTATTTGTTTATAAAAGAGGGTGAAACGCTAATTTATAGATGTGACAAATGTAGAACGGTTATTTTAGATGAATATAGTTCACACGGTTGCATGTGCGAATAATGACAGACATGAAGCTAATATGACATACTTAAATATAAATATTAAATAACCTTAAATTTGGGGACTAGAAATAAACAGCGCTGCTTATTAACTTTGAAAGTATGCAATTGTTTGTGATAGAAACTATTTAAAAAAAAAATATTCACTATAAAATAAAAATTCCCTCTTATTTACCTGATAATAGAAAGCTGTTAGATAGGTATTCTGTGCTGTACATATTAGGAACAAATATAAATACTCATTAATGTTTATTTATAAGTATTAAATAACGAATAAAGAATGAATGAAATACATAAATTAAAAGTACTTGCAACCGGCGAGCTAGTATGAATAGATTGATAAAAGCGGAGGAAGCGAAAGAGGTATGTTTAAAACAAAGCATTTGGAGATCCATTGTTTCTGTCTACCCCAATGGCCACAATAAAATTCCGTAGAATCGTAACTGGATCTAGCTTTCAATAAAAAAATATTTTATGAAAATAATAAGTCATGTGTAGAAATCTAACTTGAATTTAACATATAATAACTATAGACATTATAGATGTATATTATGGATAAGTAGGTAACGTTGACCGCTCTCAAGAATTTATGCCTTATATGGGAAGTTACAAATAATCGAAAAACAGTCAAAGTGAACTAAACAGACTATACTAATATTTAATCCATAATTACTTTCAGGTATTTTATGAAAAAAAGTTTAAACATTTCGTGAAAAGGAAAATAGATGCGATTGAATGGACTTACCATCGTATCTCAAATTAACTTACGCTAGCTTTCAAAGACCCTATTGTATTTCGCTTTTTAAAAAATATAGGCTTTAAAATAACTTTAATAACACGCTGTCATTTAAGACATTTTCCCACAAAAAAAATACCGACTTTAATTGTGGCAAAACCACTTACATTGATTCAAAAACTAAACTACTGAACTGATTTTGATAACTTTTTTAAGTAACTAAATAAACTTCCTTTCCAATAAAGAAGTTTCCAATTCGGTTTATAAATAACGGAGTTATGAGGTAACAAACGTAAAAAAATACAATCCAATTGAAAACCTCCTCCTTTTAGAACTTAGCTGAAAAGCTAAATTGCTCATCAAAGAAAACCGACCTGTCAGTCGATGGTAACATAAAATAATCTCATGGGGGCATAGTTTTATCGAATCCATTTCCTTTCTCGAGAAGCATTTTCTCTTAGAAGCATGTATTTTACAATTGCTGTCAAGAACAGACCTCCATTCACCAATGGGAGGGAGAGAACGCAGGATCGATTCGCCGCCGACACTCCTACTTAAATTGGACAGGCGCGTAGAATAAGGCTGTGAAAATAATATTGTTCGGTTTTAATAAAACAAACAAAGAGATTGAAGAAACAATTGTGATTTGAAAATTTCAGGATCAAAATGTTTAATTGGTTGATTGACAAAAGAATTATTAATGTATTTCACAATGTGTTTCATAGAGCTCAATTGAGAACCAGAATGAAACAAAAAAATCTTTTTTATGAGTTAATAACCGTAAAAATAAAGGCTGGCTACGCACAAGCAACTCCTCTCATGATCTTCATGACTAGCGGTAGCTGCATTCTATCAGGTGGACCATCTGCTCGAAACAATAAAAAAAATCCTAATGCAAATAACAACATATTATTATTCAAACTCCAAAATAATGTTCTTATGAGAAAAGGACCAAAAAAATCGAAAAACAATATTTCGTTGTACGAGTAGTTAATATTGTTTCATTTGTATCATTTTAGCAAATGATTTTTAGATCAATTTTTACAAATGCAAGTGAAGAAATTCAATGGTGAATTACTTTATGGCTGTTATTGACAGCTCCTAAGGGGTATTTGTTTGGTAAGTGAAGGGTTGTATAACAAAGAGAAGATCGCGTCACAGTGGTTTTATAACAAGAGCAAAACAAAAAAAAATGTCTCTTGAATTTTCTTTATGTTTTCTTTTTTTGTTTTTGTAGATAAAAGGGAATGCTATGGTAGTTATAAATAATGTGACCTTTATAGGAAGATATGTGTGCATTAGCTTCTTTTTAAATCGTTATAATGTATCTTGTATATACTCCGATAATCCGATAAAAATAATAATATATAATGTTTCTATATAAGAACTTATAAATCATTATCGAAATATTTTTTTAATGAAGTGCCTACTCATTAATTTGGAGTTTACGGTATAGTTCCAGATATTTATCTCAAATAAAATACATAGTTATGAAAAATTAATCATATCATATTAGCTAAGCATATTAGAGGTACAATTTATTTATATGTCTTATTTACTTTATTAAATATATTTCTTGCATACTTAAATAAAAAATGGAACTGTAAGTTCTTAATATTGTTTTATTAATCTTTACAATGTTATATTCTTAGACGTTTATTGAAAGAGTGAAATGTACAAAAAATGAAATAAAAAATAAAAAAGGTGTACAATATGGTGGCTACCAGTACGTCAGCAATATGGCGCCCCACGGTGCGTATGTCTACCTATGAGCTGATGACGTCCAAGGGGGGCGAGGAGTGACGGCTATCGGGCGTCCACTGGTACCTTTTGCACTTAAAACACGCCTGTCAGTACATCGTTGTTAAGGCCCTTTATGGCAGTGGCGTAGGCAGCAGGTGATCTGGTAAGCCTCAGCGATTCTGGTGCAGCGGTTATACAGTCTCGTTCAATAATTTCTTTTCTTTTGTCATATATTTAATATTAAAGTTTACATAAAATTATTTATAAACTTTTCTAGAATGATGTAGTATCTCACTTCTGACACCATAAGGTATTTCTTAGACGTTTATTAGAAGAGTGAAATATAAATTATAAAATAGCAATGTAAAAAACATGTGCCATTTGGTGGCTGCTAGTACATCAGAAACAAATAGTAGTTGATAATAGTGAATGTTATGCAGAGTAATTATTAAAGTCCAAATTTGATGCTGTATTATGTAATGTATTGTTTTGTATTTTATTAATTAGCTGTAATTAAACATTTTTATACATACATACATAATTATTGTATAATGTAATAAATAATTGAAAATTAAACATATAATGTACCTGTATAAAATGGCCTACGAGTATATGTAGATAAATTCAATATATTATAATATTTGCATGCTATTTGATGTGGCGAAACATAATGGACAAATTATAAACTTTACAAATGCAACATCTTTTCTACAATGTTTCTAGCAAATAAATTTCATTTCATTTCAATTAAAATTAAATAAAATAGAAATATAAAATATCAGTATAACTAAATGTGGTGAATATTCGTTTTCTGCTTGATTATATTTGTCGATTCAATTGTCAGTAATGATTTTATAATATGAAAAATCTTTATAAACATAAGTTGCAAAGAAATTAATACACTGTTGTAAACGAATTTCGTTTAAGCTCCGCCTATTTCATTGGTTATTTCACCGGTACCTCCCACTGTGCAGGGGTTGAAGCTCTCGCGACCACATACATTGGTTTGTTACTATAAATTTGGTCTTTAATAAGGCCTAGTACGGTCGAGTCTGGCGCGTACTCTCACACTTCCAATTCAAGAACCCCACAGTGACGTATAAACGAAATGGCCACCCCTCGCGGTATAAAATTATTTACGCGTTCAAAATACGTTCAGTCTAATTCGAATATTAGTTAAGATAATTAGTGTTTTGTAAACAAGTCATGTCAGGAGCAAGAACGCAGTTAGCAGATTCATCTACATCTCCACCGTTGAGGTAAGTTATTGCACAGGTTTTTTTAACCAATTGAAATTTTCCGCCGAAATATAACTGTATTCTAAATATGTCGATGTAAATAGCAATTTTATTTAATAATTGTGTGCTCTTCTAAAGTTTTATTTAAATTTTATTACATTTTTAGATAGATCTAACATGTTTATGGCAATAAGCATGTTAGATCTATCTAAAAATGATAATTAATATTAATAAAATTATATTAGATAATAACATTTCAAAATGAAGTTACGTTAATTAAAAATCCCATTTTATCCTCTTACCGTTTGGATTTATACAAATTGGTAAATCTTTCACAAGTGTATTTTATCTATTTTAATTGATTGGAATTTATTAATTCATTGGAAGGTCGAAAAGAATATTATACTAACACAAGAAAGTGTTTAAATTAATAATAAATTAACTAACTTAATATAAAAATTAAGTTCTACTCAACTAATTATTTCATATTTGAATATTTTATTAACTCTTAGATATGGTATAAACATGTTGGAGACAATATAAAAATTTATAGGAAATATTTGTGGACTTCGTAGCATTTGAAAGTAGTAATAATAATAATAAAAGCAATAATCGTAAAAATAATTAAGATATGCCTAATTCTTTTTATCCATAATAATTCAGAAACTAACACTTCGGAAGATATAAGTTTCTTTCTTCTTATTTTTCATTCGATATTTTGTACGTGGATATATAATTGTTGGATAGTTCGATTATATTGAAGATATAAAATTTATGACCTTTTAACTGCTGATAATATAATCAGTAATATTGAAATATTAAAGAAAAATGTAGTTTAAGCATTACAGTCACAGATGATAGAGTAGATAATGTTAATGCATATTTTCTGAAACAACTATTATTATAATATTATTATAGATTATGTGAGAACCTGTATGCCAGTTATATAATGAATATTTGAGTGAAGAAGTCTTCAAGTAACCAAGTTAACTTTTTTTGTTTTATTTTATTTCTGTTTATTGTAGTAAAATAAGTAGTGTAAATAAACAGATAATTCCTTTTTTTATTTATTATGTAAGGACACAAACAGCTTCACAATAAGTATTACATAATTATATACAGGTATATTACTTGACATAAATTATCTTTTGAAGAAAAAAAGAAGATGTACTGTTTTATGAACCGATCTTTTACGAAATTTCACTAGAACGGGTAGAATGGATATTAGTCTATAATTTTCAACATCAATTTTGGAGCCTCCTTTATGCACATTTCAATGGTTTTGGAGATCAACGTAAACAAACATCATTAATCAAACAATTATACTAAATTATTGTATTATTACTACTCGATTTCAAGCGGGAATCACTTTTCCAAAAACACTAAAAAGTATTTTATTTATTTATAATCAAAAGTCCAAAACTGAAGTTCTATGCTTCTAGTTTTAATTATAACAAAATTATCATACAAACTTTCGTCCTATATTCATGCCTTGGGGAATAAATTTTTCAAAAACTAATAAACATATTAATTCTTATTTTGAACCAAGAGACTAAATCTAAAGTTTCACGTTTCTGACTTCTAAATGACAAAATCCTATTCAAACCCTTTTATATTCTTAGGGGATGAATTTTCTAAATATATTTCTTATTCTTCTACCTATATTAAATAAAGAACCTATCTGCAAAATTTCTAGATTAGAAATGCAGCAGTTTCAGCTGTGTGTTGATATATGTGTCAGTCAATCGATCAATCAGCCTCCTCTTTTATGTACATGCCTAAGATTCTGTTAAGAGAGCTGTTTGTTTCAGTGAAAATCGTCGGCTAGATTATAACTCTGGATTGAAGTTCTCATATGGCGATGGTTCTGATGACGAAGGCCCCTCACTGGCGTCCGAGCTGCCCTCGTGTGTGTACGCAGCTGCTAGAAGTAGGCTGCAATTACCGCTTGCTGCGTATGTACACCAACATACCAGACAACTGCATACAGGTAACTGGTGTTATTAATTAATTATAATGAAATAGTAACTTCGTCTAGATAACAGCGATCAACATATATTGGTTGGACACCAGTAAGAAATGATAAACTATGGAAGAGTCAGTTCGTCGTGATTTATTTGGACCATATAGAGGTCAATCCGATAGTATAGTCGTCATAGTCGTAGAATACTGACGGATCTTTATATGTAATCTTTGTCAGATTTGTCAGTATTCTACGACTATGACGATATATTGCTAGTAATGCGGTCTTTAATTCTTCTACTAATATGCCCCCGCCCCATCCACCTTTAATATAATACTAAGTTATATGTTTCAATACGATCAAAAATTCTAAGTCTCCGTATTCGGACACGATTTTGATATGAACGACTTTTATCTTCGGACCTAATTTCGCTCTGTAACATTTCATGGTAGAGTCAAGAATTTGGAATAGTACTAATTAATATTCTCTACAATTCCATGAATTGCATGTGTTATGTATATTGGATACAGTAAGTTGTTTAACAGATGTTTTACTGGAGACATCAGCAGAGCCCGAGTACCAGTGTAGTGGATCGCCGTACCGTGTGCAACGAGCCGCCGCGAACGTCCGCGAGCGTCGACGGATGCTGAGGTCCGGACCCAATGGGTATCCACTTATTGTTGCGGTCTTTTTATAGATCTCAATTTATTAGATAATAGTTTATACCCTTTACGAAGCTTTAAGAAATTCTTAGTTTTTTTTATTAAGTTATATTATCTCTAAGATAAATATGAAATTTGGTTACACCAGTTTATTTGCTGTTAGTTTTACCTTGCATGTTAAAGTGTAGCGTGCTGTAATGATTTTATAGTATACTAGCAACCAGCCCTGGCTTCGCTCGGGTCCTTTACAGAAAATTTAAAATAGCCTATGTTACTCCGAGGAGATGCAGTTTTCGCCAAAATTTGTTGAGTAGTTTTTGAGTTAAATCGTAACAAACAAAAATCAATCATCTTCCCGTTTCATTCGTGTAACGTAATATTAATTTACATTTATACTTTACCTAAACTTTTGGATCCCCACGGCTCGGACGCGAGGCGTAGGGTCAGGGGTCACCCGTGTGGCCCGGTCAAATCACGGCGACATGAAATTAATTTCGTTGCGCATTATTTTGATTTTGCTATATCTCCTAAGTTGTCAGTGTAAAGGAAAAAATAATTTTAATGAAATTCTAAAGCGAACTAATGTGTTTAAAATTTAGAATTAATACCATATTTGTGTAAATAGTTTTCCAATAACCACTTTATAATTGGCCATTTTTTAAAGTATTAAAATAGATGTAATATGTTAACCTTAAGAGATAAACATATGCCATTGCGGAGTTTTTCTGTAGAACTATATAAGATACACAACTCCATCTTACGTGGTGGATTCATTATTTTGTTATACTCGTTTCTGAAAAGATTCAGGCAGCGTTTTCATTGAAAGCTTCCAGACGGCTTATTTTTTCCGAAACCTCCAACAAATGGCATTATATTTTGTCTAGAAAAACTTAACAAATTATATATTAAACCTTTCCTTGAAAACCACTCTATCCATTGGTGAAAACAGCATGAAATTCGGTGCAGTAGTTTTTGAGTTTATCACGAACAGACAGATAGGCAGACGCGGTGGAGGACCTTGTTTTATAATTAATATGTTTTATAAGTTTACCTAAATGATGGCACCTCTTATAAATCAACTTGTGTTTTCTTGTCTATAGATTTTAAATTTTATGTCCAAGGAGCAAGATTTTAAAAACAAAGTGCATAGAATAGAAAGCGTAGAAACCAATTATTGTTCAAGCTAATTGGCACATCCAAGCTAAAACGTGCGTGTGATGTTCTGATTTTAGCAGTATAAACTCGGCGTTCGATGAACTGCGCGTGCACGTGCCGACGTTCCCTTATGAGAAAAGGCTCAGCAAAATCGACACGCTTCGGCTGGCTATCGCTTACATCGCTCTACTCAGGGAGGTATGTTTCACAGCCAACGTCTTTCTTTGCCAGAGGTTTTGTATAAACTCTTTATTGCGCACAAAAAAGATAGGTCAAGGTATATTTATACAAAATATGTAAAGACAAAAGGCGGCCTTGTCGCTAAGAGCAACCTCTTACAGATAACCTGTCTTAAACAGAAGGTAAGTACAAAGAGAAAGTAGGTGGTATAAATCAGACACAGTGAATACAAAAATAAAAACAAATAAAATGGATATTATCTATTATTGTAAATAACATTTATATAAAAATTAGACTAAATTACAAATATATACTAAATGACGGTTCCTTCCGACAGTCTATGGGAGAGGCTTGTTTAGCAGTGGGCAGGTAACGGCTGAGATGACGATGATGATACTAAATAAATCAAAGTAAATAATACGTAACAAACATCGAGACAGATTAGAGAGACAGTAATGAAAATTTACTTGACACTTAAATGAGGCAAGATAGATTTAAAAGTAAAATGTACACGAGATTTTAGATTTCCTTTGGGAACACGACCTTGAATACCTCGTCCAATTAGATGCAGTAGGTGGTTCTTATCTGATACAACTGTGTGAATAAACATACATACAAACAAATAGATATTCTAAAAATTAATGATTTGGCATTTATTGCTATTATCTTATTCCCTCACTAGGTTGTCGCCCTCTTCTTTGTAAACGTGGTGGTAGAATTGGAAATCCCAATTAAGTAGACCATCTCTAGATGGCCTATCAAGATAAAATATAGATCAGATTTAAGTTAAACCTTTAGGAACATAACTGTAAAAACCGCTTCCAATTTGGTGCAGTGCAGTGCAATGTTCGCGTTAAGCCAGAACAAACATTAAGGCAGAGAGATAGAAAAAAATTCTATAAATGATTGTTTTTTCTTTATTAGACTTATTAAGACTTCTCATTAGTATGAAAATTATCCTTCTAAAATCCTTATTAATGAGACAAATTGATACTTTTCTTAATTATCTCCCATGTACAAACATTGTTCAGTTACTATCTTATTATATTAGTAAGAAGTAAGATATATTTTTTTTTATTATCTCAAATGTATAGATATCTAGTTACATTGTAACATCTACTTAAAAAATGACTAAAACAATGTTCCAAATACAGCAGCAGCAATCCCTATGTACCTATATACCTGACCTATATTGTTGTCGTGCGTTTCACCGTATTGTCCAAAAATTTAGAAAAGTTGCAGTAATTAAAATTACTTATAAGAATAAATGTTTTGCGTGGAAGTATATGCAAATGCTATAGCCGTGCTAATTACTCGTAGCATCATCTTCAGGTTTTATCTTCGGCGCGTATGAAATGTATCTACCTACCTTTTTGTTGTTTAATGTCATAGGTTACAGCTAAATACATTTTATGATAATATAATAGGAAATAAGAAGACATTGTAATCCATTAAACTGGGCTCGACTGTCTTCAATACTCCTTTTTATCTCTAGTATGGAAAGGAAGAAAAAAGAATCATTTGTGTTTAAATAGTTACTTGATAGTGATAATTATTGTAAAAATCTAAACAGCCTAAAACACAGGGGTTTAAATTTGAAATTTTGACAGTTGATGCATCATATGATGTGATGTTTGTATGAATAAAACGAATTTCTTTAGCGTATTAACAACGATAAATCTATATACGTATATAAATATACGTGTGCAAAGAAAAGTAATAATGCTGTTATATACTTCTGTGTAACTAGAATGAAATTTTATGCTGCTTTCTTTGAAACCCCCACACTTCGATACAACCATTTATTCTTTACTTATATTAACTTACACGCGAGCTAAATCATTGATAACAGTTAGTATTAGTATAAAAATTCGAAAACTATATTAAAAGACACCAGTAAAATGTGTTTGAGGAACATAATTTAAAAAATAAACAACTTTCAGGTATTGGACGCCGATTACGATCCCCTGACTTATGTAGAAAAATGTTTACGAGGAGAAATCAAAGCTGATCGAGCACACTGGAACACAAGTGGTGAACAAACTTTTATATTTATATTTGTTCGCATAACTAGAATAAAAAGTAGCCTATATTTTTCTCCATCTCAGTACTATTACAACAAACAAACTTAATTTTACATCAATACATATAATAGTATACAACAAAGTCGTTTACCGCCGTCTGTACTCTTAGGTACAGCTTTCAAAAAACGAAAGGCATTTTATTCGATTTTCATCAATAGACAGAGTGATTCAAGAAAAAGGTATTGTATAATATAATATATAATATTATATTGGGGAAAAGCCGAGAATTTTAAAGATTTATATGTGATGCGTAAAAATAAATATTGTTATGCGCTTATATGCAGACGCTGGTTAAACCTTACGAGATAGATTTTTTTTGGGTGAAAATGGCATGGTAATCTCGCCTGCGCTATCGGTATACATTGGCGGGTACCAGTGAGAGGTGATAGGTGAGGATGAAAAGGCAGGTCAGTTAACCCATCGTGATGAATTCAACGATAAATTAGTCACGATAGTTTCCAGGGAAAACCGCGTGAAGGTCGACCGGATAAGATATACTGATAGTAATGGGGACTAAGCTCTCCATTGCCAATAATCCCTTCCCCCCTACGAGATAGATTAAAGTAATGTACCCACTATAGAATTGCATATCTTAAAAAGATCTACAAAAAGTCTATGATAATATATCTCCATCTCCTAAGGATAAGTAACCATTATTATTATTTAAATACTACAAAGTGGTAGCGGGTAATACATTAATATCAACATTATACCCGTACTAAGCCAGAACAGTAGCTAATTTATAATAATAATAAAGATAAATTAATGGATTGATACTTGAATAAACTTTTATATTTGATAACCTTCGGGCCTCTGAAGATGTGGCCAATTTAGAAAACGAACTTTAAATAAATAAATATTACAGGTAAATATGACACTAACAAAATAAAATCGTTATGGTCTAAATGATATCTACTTATAGTTATCATTTATTTTAAATCTCTCAAAAAAACAAGACTCAAAATATACCCTTGTTATAACAGTCTAGCTTAAATACTATATACCTTAATTTGAAACATTCATTCGCAAATATTTCGTAGTTAAAATTATAAAATAGTGGAAAGTAATATAAATAAGGATTTCAATTTTTATTTGTAATGAATAAACTTACAAGGAATACTAAACCGATTTTAAAAGTTCCTTTACCTAGTTATAGAATGCCACAGAGTCAGAGAGTAACATGAGCTGTATATTATTAAAACAATAATAAACTTGCGAGATAGCCATGGCCAACTTATTTAACTCTAGTAAATAGAGTTAAATAAGTTTGATATGGAATGGTAACTCTGCTACGTTATCAGAAAAGGCTGACGGAATACCAGGAAATATTAATACGTGAAGATGAAGTTAGGCTACATGGTTTATCGTGACGCATTCATCAGGACTACACCATGACGGTTTCCAGAGCGGACCACACGGAGATACATTTCAGATGACTTAAGAGTGGAAAAAAGGATTGTTAGCAATGGAGTTTAACAGCCCAATTACCAGCAATACACCCTATCGTGTCGACCTCCTCGCAGTTTCATCTAGAAACTACAATGGTTAATAATTATTGAATTAGTAACGATGGGCTAGTTGACTTACTTACATCCTAGGCCATACAAGACTTAGACTACGGCTCGCACTAACTCTGATCCTGAGGTCACTGATGCAAAGCGGAAATTAAACGCTGTTTCGAGGCACAGTGAAAGATTAATCGTCAGAGCCAAATTTAAATCTGTGGGCAAAATTGATAGGCAGCTATCAAGCCTTCCTTTTGGTAATCATGCTTTCTGGTCGCTTGCTAAAGCCGCCCAAGGAAACTTTTGCCCATCGTTTTTTCCACCACTTCGGGAACCGAATTGGACAGCAGTGCTAAAGGGAAAGCCGACCTATTTGGTAATCTCTTTGCCTCGAACTCCCTCTAACTACTGGCCCCCAGCCAGCGTATATACTGATGGCAAAGGTGCGATTATTACTTCATTTTCTCTCATTGATATAACCTGCGTGAATATATCTTATACATATTGCTAACAATAAGTCCTTTTGATTTCATTACTAACATCCTTTACTTCTCGCTAATATAATATTGTTCTGTATTATTTGATATTTATAAATACCATTAATATTTTTTAGATCTAACAGCAAGACTTTCGTGGATTAATTGGGAAAATCTCGGCGTGAATCCACAACGAAGAAGCGTCCTTACTTCGCTCGCACTCAGTTCCGACAATTTACAATATTCGCATAATTAGTCACGAAGAATACATTATCCCATTATTTAGTAGTTGCTTTAGAATTTTTTTTTTTTTTTATAAACCTGAAATTCTTTTAGGGGATTGTTCTATTAGTTTGAAACATTATGTCGAAAATGATAAAAAATTCTGAGTCCCCAAGACATGTTTGACGCGTCCAATTGTCAAATTACTATGAAAGGCTTGAAATTTTTTGTCATTTTCTATCAATAAAAATAAATTCAATGACTGATAAACTGACAGAAAATAATATTGTAATATTTTTATTATGAATAACAGAATACACTCAATCTAGTCAAAGTGGTGCAATATAGACTTAAGATAACATGTTTAGGTATATGTTTATTTATTATAACAAATAAGTCGATTATAATATATAAGTGGAGAAATATTAGCAATATAATCATAGTAGAATGTTGATAACAAGATGAAGTATAAATAAATATGCAAGTTAGTGTTTGTTTTATTGTCTTTAATCATATTTACCTTAGCAATGGCAATACTTAAGTTAGGTGAAGTAGATGAAATAATTATTATGCCCAGGCTGTTCATGTTCCTATGAGCCATTTTCCATATGCCACCTTTACCTTTCTAAGTAGTTTAAAAAATACTAAAGAGACAAAGTATACTTACACAAGTATTTTGTACTTACAAATTAACAATAAATGAACATGCAATTGTATTATAGTATTTTTTTTTTGTAATCCTAGGAATCGTAAACAAGGTGACGACGCCACGTCAGATGAAAATCGATAATAATTTTCTAGACAATGAATTTTGCTCTCTGACCTTTTCTGCATCCAATTCTACAATGTTATTTTAGCGGATTTTATCTGCCCACCCACTTTTTAAAGTTAAATTTAAATTCCACAATGGGGTCGATTCAGAGGCACCATTTCTTTAAAGCTATCTATAAAATTAAAAAGGTCGCGCCAGGTTTCCATATGAAATTTGCACTCGCATCTTTGTTGGCATTGGTGCCTTTAATATAGTGCTAATTGTAGGAAATAATTTTTGGCCAACTATCATACCCTTTTATTACCATTTTATTTATTTTTGAAAAATGGGGGTTGCAACTCTCTCTATAAAATTATTTTGCTACGTAAATTCGGTAAATATTTCAATGCAACTGAAGAGCCTAGTTTCACATCATCATCATTGAAAAAAATAGGAGTGGTTTTTAGTGCCTATTTCTGGATGCTATTGTACGTATCGAACTATAATATATAATAATTATATAGATGTGTGATGAAATGTATGTGATGTAGAAATAAAAAATTCTATTAAGCAGGCACATAGTGTATTCGAGCCAATCTAATAAAAACCTCTTGATTCTACATAAAAAAAACAACATATTTAATAAAATTAATAACATTTGTTTTTTTTTTTTATTTTTTAAACGTAAACGTCCCAACTTCAGTTTCAGCTGACTTAAAAAAAAGTAAGTTTTCAATTCAGTTGTATTTCCTCATAACACCATCAATTCTAAACCAATGTGAAAAATTTATCAAAATCAGTTCGTTAGTTTAGTTTTAAAATAAAAATAACTGATTTTGTTACATTTGAACTCGCTACTTACTAAGGAATCACATAAATAGACAGCTATACAGTTTTATGTATCTTTATTCGTTTTAAAATACAATGCAATAGGAATGTGATACTTAAAAACTGCTTACAAAATTAAAACAATAATCTATTTCAATAAATTTATACTATAAAGTATTCCTTAATCGTGAGCGGTATGGCTGGATATTTTTCGGTGTACAGTTTTGTTCATCATAACAGAACACATTGATTTGATGCTACAATATACAAGAATCCGCGTACATATGACATGTCATACACAAAAGAATATTTTATCCTCTGCGGATTATATGTGATCTCTAGAAGCCTTTAAAGTTAGATTTCGACATAAATATTATTAGAAAAAAATTAAGGCCAATCTTCTGAAACGTTGTGAACTGTATGCCATGTCAAACCATTACCTGCTGGTTTATGTATGGAAGGAAATAAAACATTCTTTACAAACGTCCTGCCTTGAGTGAGGCCAAGGAATAACTTCCAATTTTTTCTTCTCCCGAAATTGTATGGATTTCTGAAAGATTTCTGAGTTTTGCGTATAGTTGCGTTTATATGCGCTTCGACGCTTGTTTCGCCCCTGCTAATATTCTTGCCATGCATCACGGATAATACTCCAAGTGCAAATAGCACAGACAAACATGTGACAGCCATGAAAATGACCGCTTTCCGTTTCCATGGGTGTGCACATATGCGTTGTGTCTCTGTTATTGGAGGGACGGGTAAGTTGTGTTCACGTGGAAAGTTTATAGAATCATATTCAACAATCACTTTCACTGGCACCAGAGCTCCCGTTTGGTTCAATCGTACTGGATGTCCAATCAAATCCGGATCATTGTTTGGGATTATACCACCTGAAATAAAAAAAAAATACATCTTAACCTTCTACTAAAATTATAACATGAAATTGAAATTAGCAGTATTAAGAGAGTGTCCTATCAGTAAAACTAAATAATTTACTGTCATTTAATATAAGCAAACGCAGTGTAGGACGACCCCCCAATAGATGGAGTGACGACCTCAAATGCATTGCAGGTAGACAGTAGATACAGGTGGCTCAGGACCGTTCCTTATGGCAGTCTATGGGAGAGGCCTATGTTCAGCAGTGGACAGATAATGGCTGAGATGATGATCATGAATCTAACATTAACTGAGAGATTACACGATGATGAAACAACCGCTATGATATAGTGGTGGGTACGTTGCTTTGCATGAATGAGGTCCTCAGTTCAATTTCCAGTTGGGTTATTTCAGGAAACTAACTTTTCTGACTGAAACTAAATTGGCTCGAGTTTGGGTATTGAGTTTTTAAATAAAAAAGAATGTTTATTTGAATGATTTACCTGTGTCATTTAACCAGAGTACTTGATATCCTATATCAATGCCAGCAATAATGACGAAAGTCACTCCTGCTACCATGTACACCATGTAAAGAAAGAAATGCCGAGCGTTATAGTATCCTACGCAGTTATTAAGCCATGGGCAGTGGTGATCCATGGCCAAGATGCATCGGTCGCACACAGAGCAGTGGTGGGTGCGTGGTGGCTTAGGAGATATGCATTTTTTGCATATACTGGCAGCCTCTGATATCATTGCGCCCTAAATAATCAATCAATTAAAATTCATTTCACAAGGTAATAATTGGTGGTAATAGCAAAATACGTAAATAAGGGGAGAGAAGGGACAATGTTCAGTAGTGGACAATTAAAAGCTGATATGATGAACCTTCTAATTGTTTGAGACTAATAAGAAGCCTAGATGAGATTTCTAACCTCTACACTAAGTGCAGTCCAATCAGATGACAAAATTAAGTTAATATTGTCTGTATTATCTTAATTTTATAGGCTTACATTTATATAAAAAAATACATTTATGTAATAATTAAAATAACCTCACACCAACAAAACCTAAAAAAACCAAAGTGGTTTACATTCCTAACATTCTTATAATATATTTCTTATATATAAAATTTTAAATACGGGCAAAGATCAAACTTTAATACCTACTTGTTCATAGATTATATCACTACATAAAATTTATTTCATAATAATCATAGGGATTTTTATTCATATTAAAAGAAGTATAACTTACATGAGGTGGATATCCAGGCGGAGTAATAACACCCATAACATAGTGAAACACTATGTTTAACAGCAACCAATTCCCAAAAACAACTAAGAATACAGCAGTGTACGGACAACGCTGCCACCAGTATGGTAGCCCCACCCAATAAGCTATCATCACCACAGCTGTAGTCAACACACTCACACAGAAAACAAATACCTGTAATGAATAAATACATGTATTATTTTTTATTATTTCTTCCAACTTTTATTTTAAAAGGAATTGTTAGTAGAGAGGTCCATCAGCCTCATTAATAATAATATACCTTTTCAGGTTGGAAATCAACATGGATGATTTTTTAATTCATCACAATGATTAGTTCATTGTGATGAATTAAAAAATACTAATCTACTTTCATCCTCACCTATTATCTTTCACTGCTGCATGGCAGGTTTATATTAATAATGCAAGTGGGATTACCATTACATTTTGATCCATTATGAAGAAGACATATTTTTCATAAATAAAAAATGTGAAATCACCATTTCTGGTAATATTTCTTAAATCTACTATTATCAACGACTATAAGACTGATAGTGGTCTGAAAAAAGAATTGTTTTCTTTACACCAATAAAGGTTAATAGTATGTTATATTTTAATATGTTCTACAGTGTACCAAATTTCATTAAAATCTGTGCAGCTAAACAAAAATCATTGAAAAAAAAAATATTTGTACATATTAAAATAAATTATAACATTTTATCTGTAAATCTTTTTTGGTTTATGAGGGTAACAATAAAAGATTGAAAAGATGAATGAATTTATATACCTTCCCTAAATATTTGGCGAAGTTGTCAACAAACCAAAATATTGGCTCTAACAAAAAGTCTATTGCATAACTCTGACTCATGTGCTCATTGTAAGTGAGGGATCTTACAGTTAAAACTGCTTCTGAGTACTTCCATAAGATGAAAAATCTGTAATAAATTAATGTAGTTAAAACAAATTAATGTAATTATTTTATATAGTTCTAAATCACACAATAACAATGTGACAATAAAAAGCATACAAAGGAGACACTGTGTTATTTGTTGTGTATCACACTATGTTATCTAGCAGAAAACTGAGGAAAGCTCATTAGATGATTAGAGTACTAGACAAATGACCATGAAAAAAACTCAAACAAATACAAACATACACACTCATGAATACTCAACCTACAGAAGGTGTAAGTGTGTTGAACTGCTACACCACCATAGTTGTAGACTAAAATCAAATACACTATTGGGACTTAACATGATTCAGTTACAGGTAAAGGGTTCCTACATACCTGATTTTTATTGGCAATCTAGATCCACCCTACACACCACACTTATAGTATCAACACTGTGTTTAAACCAATTATCACATATCTTATGTATATTAATCACTGAGTTCCATGCTATGGAAAGCCTACATTCATTATCTTTATTGAAAATTTTCAAACATTTTCTAATAACAATTGCTTCATGTACTATCTAAGAATAATAGTGATGCTCCCGATAGTCCTAATAGTGTATCAAAAATGTGTCAAGAATTAACTACATAGAACATTATATACTTATAACATGTTTATTATAGCAAAGAGCAGATTTTGGCGTAATATATATTAAACAATGAAACTATTAGTAAATAAACAATTACTAAAATAAAACCAGCTAAACAATTTTAGAAATTAGCAGGAACAAATACTATGGCATAGGATTATATATTAAAATTAAACAGCACTTACTTTATTTGTTGGTAAATACCTCTGCTTCGAAATTTCCATCGTATCACTACCATTTTATTTTTTATTTCTCAAAATGTCTCTATATTGTTAATGTCTGAAATATATACATACAATATTTAATGTTAATTAAAACATAAATTATATCTTGAGTAAAAAAAAATCACAGTAAATCACTATATAATAAACATAAAATTATTATGATTAGTTAGTGTAACAAAAATATTATTTTGTTACTAATGATTCAAAATTTAAAATCAACATTGACTACCAAGGACTGAATAGACTAATGGACTGGAAAAGAAGGAAAACATAGCATACTTTTAATTCAGGTTAATTATATAATTATTCTTTGTCTCCTGGTCATGGAGACAAAGTTGCGAACAGATGCAGTAATTACAAAATCATGCTGCAAAACGCATAACTTACCATATATTTGATTAAATTACATTTTATTTTTAAACTGATTAATACTTCAATTAAGTTTTATTACATTTCAATTCAACTGCTCGGCTAGACAATATTAAAATAACTTTTATCTAATTATCATATTTTCGTATAGAATCCTCAAAAAATCCTTTTTATTATAAATTATCGATCTTTAATAAATAATATACATATCAACGTTTAGGTACATAAAATATGTACTAAGATTTATTAACTCTAAAGGAGATATAATATGGATAATTTATAATTAAAATAAATTATAAAGATTATAATAGGTTATTTTCTATTATTTATAAAGAAAAATATTAAAAAACAAACACTAAATTGATTGACGTAACTGCTAGCTGACTGACGTACCGATTTGATTGATGCGTATTACTGCACGTAAGATATGGGATATATGAGTATTTAACATTAATAAATCGTGAAATAAATAAAAATATTAATAAATCAATAATTTTAAATATTGTTTTGATATGAATACAAAAATTTCACAAAGATTGGAATAATACAATATATAAAGCCCATATCGATTAATTTTATTGATCGCTAGTTACCTTTATTAGCCCATGACTTCATATGCGTACATTCTGTTTAGTAGTATAAGAAGAAAAAGCAATGAAATATATCACAATTAGTTAATCTCTAAAATAGTTTATCTAAATGCAGTTTAAAAAACATTTTGCTTGTGTGTATCCGTAGTCGCCGTGTCGATCCCAGCATAGAATGGGCCACTTCTTTCTTTCCCGTAGATGTAAGGGGCGACTAAAGTAACTTATAGTATGACAACTTATATACTTTTCTCTTAATACATTCCTAAAGCCTAACTGCGATTGCCAATCGGCCTGCTGTTGGCAAGCGAGACACCGCATGCCGATGGCGGTGCAAGAAACAATGGCAACATTGTTTTTGGGTCCCTAACTCGGGTTCCGGAAGCGGCGGAATGTTTAATCTACAGAAGCAATGACTCGTAGTGTCCCTTCTGCGTATTTGTTACCATTCATTTGTTTATAATGATAAAGACACGTGTGAAACGAGTGCTCCACCGTTGCCCTTGATTTTAGCCCATTCGTCGAGTGAACCGTACAGCGAATACTTGTGCGCGATTGTGAAGTATAAAATTCTTATTGGGTCACGAACTTAAACATCTAATTTAGTGTTCTTTTAAGCAGATTTCTTATGTTGTTAATAAATTATTATTTTAAGTTACTTGTTCCTTGTATTTAACACTGCCAAGTGTGGCAACTACTAATAAAATTTTGGGGGTTTTGAGGGAGGTTTATGTCCAGCAGTGGACAGTTAAAGACTGTTATGATGATGATGATGATCAACAATAATATAACTCATCAATTGGCACCGCCTTCAAACAGATTTTCTCCTTTGAATTAAAAATCTAATATTAATATATTTTTCGTTTTTGGTTTTTGTTTTATCTTTTTTTTTTAAATCGGTTTAAATTTATTAAAAGATTTTTAATTATTAAATAAAAATTTAATGTATTGCAAAGTTGCAATTCGATTCCTTACGGCTTCGCCCAAATGTTTCTGTATACAAAATATCTTGTTTTAAGGTAGGGTATAATCTGCTTGTACACCAAATTTCATGCAAATCTGTTCAGCTATTAAAATCGTAATACTAATTTTATTACATGACCATTATATAATACCTAACAGCTATCTGTGTAATATAAATTTAACATTATATAGATAGGTATTTCACAAGCTGCTGGTATTCTCCTTAACAAGTTTTTTTATACGATGTACAAGGAATGGTAACTTTGTCTGCGCTATCAATATACGCTGGTGGGATAAGATCAATGATATTAGATGAAGTGAAATCAGTTGATCCATCTTGACAAATTCACCATTAATATGTCAAAATGTTAATAATGGAAAATGGTGGCTCTATTCTGAGTAGTATACCCTAACTTAACAGTACAAACAATCGTGATTAATTCTTTATAAAATTATCATAATGAGCTTACTGATCAGCTTTCATCCTCCCCTATCATCACTCACCGGTGCCTCACTAGCATATACTAATAGCATAGTTGGTATTATCATTCCATTGTGATTTTTTTAAAACCAGAAGTTAACCATGCTGGTTTTCAGGAGGGACCGTGTTATCCTAATAGGCTAGCAATAAGGAGCAAATTTTTGTAATTATCTCCCATACCTAACAAGTAAGGTAGGGGGAGAAAAGGGTTGCATTGCTAGCAATATACCCTAGAGGTTGACTTCCACACGGTTTCCGTTGGAAACCGTTGTGATTAATTCTTGAATTCCTTTCGATAGGACAACTGTCTTACTTTCCTCCTCATCCATATTTCTTCACTGGCGCTACGCCAGCGAATACCGATAGAGTAGGCGGTTGCCATTTCATAATCACCCATAAAAAAAGACATATTTAAGTACCTAGCTATGAATTTTATCTTCATCTTGATAGGTGACCATCCTATTTCATTTTAATCCATAAAAACCTACGTATAATTTATAAAACTTCTAGTTGCTGTGCTCGACAGGGTCTACAATGTACTATATCAACTATTAACATCTTTCATAATAATATTGTAGAATGCAATAAATAAATTGAATTGAATTGAAAAAAAAAAGCATTGGACTCATTGGGGAATGTTAAATAAAAGAGTTAATTCAACATGAAACTTTATTTAAAGAAACTTACAAACAGTGTTTTAAGATTAACAAAAAAAAAAAATACTGTAAAGATACAAGTGATACATACAAACTATGTTGTTTGCATTTACTATTATCACACATGTTGTATTCACAGATCATTTAAAGCGGCGATTACATAATCACAATCGTGAATTTAATAATTTGTAGAAAAAAAAATACGACTCTCTTTTAATCAACTATTGGAGAGAAGAAAACATGAGATCCATATATAGAACATACCTACTATCTTGGTATAAACGTTTTATATATTTAGTACAATGTTCATTTTATAGCAATATAAAGAATGTACACAATGCAAACTCTAATTTAATTGACTGATTTTTAATAAACAGTACATGTTTTATAGTAACTAAATAAGAAAAAAATAGAAGCCTCTTTATATAATAAATCTGCTTAGGTCTTTTTACAAACTAATTATAATCGTTAATCATTAACAAAGTGATTTAATCCTATATAGAATATGAGTATCATCACATATCTACACTCAATATTCGATCACAGCGAACTTATCAGCTTTGTTGAACCTGTTACATATTACAAATAACTTACAATGTATGGTTTGAGATTAACGAGATCATAATTTCCCTAAATGGAATGATTTAGGTAAAGATTGAATAAACTATATAAAATATACTTTTTACGAGAAAATTACTTTTACTACTTTATTTATAAATAATAAATCTACATTTCTGAGATCGATAGATTGCTTCTTATAAGGTAAATACTCGATTACTCTTTAAGGCAGAAAACGCCGTAAATTTTTTGAGTTAACATTTACATACGTTCACATTTATGTGTGCGTATCATAGATAAATAAAGTTAAAGTTGTTCCCTATAATGAACTATTGTACAACAACTTACAAAATGCAACGTTCCAAAAAACTATTAACTAATACTTAATATCTAATAGTAACACTCGAAAATCAAATAAAATGAGCAACATGATGATAACAATTTCTGTGAAGGTAAATATTAAATGCAATTTTAATTAAAAAATAAACAGTCTTTAGATATTAACCTGTATATTCCAGACTTCGAATCCAGTCAAAATGAAACAATTTAATATTTTTTTTTATTACGGATACATAATTCTAATAATACACAATAATGTCAGGTCTCAGGTACTAGTGGAATGTTTCTTAATATTTTTTCCGGCCTTGATGGCCGGAACCTTTAATATTGTTAATATCCAACAAAATATGATTTAGTTACGTAAAAAAGTAAGTGTAAATTTCAGGATTTAAGATTTACCTTCCATAATTTTAAAAACAGAACACAATGAAATTTTTATTTAGGATTGCAAAGATGCTTGTGTAATGTTACATCCTAATTACATCCTAATAAATTCATTGTAATGTTTGTTACTGTTCTGTTATATACATGTAAATGCTCACGCTTATTAGTCCGTATTGAATAATATCAAATACTTATGCAACACGCTAGGAGGTATGGCAACTTTATTACTCTTTGAAACTTCTTATCAAAAAATAGAATAATACTAATTCATCGATTTTTAACAAAACTACATGTTATAATAGGAGCGATTACTTTAATGATGTTTTAATAAACGATTTTTTTATTATATCAAAATATTTAAATAACAATAGCTCCATGGCCGTTCTTTTCCTATAATGGTTATTAAACTATCTGTTACAAAAAACATGTAATTTTGTTTTAAAAATCTTAAATTAAAACAAAAAGTTTTCTTCACATAAGTAATATACTTATATTTATAACTATTAAATTATTTTTGTTTCCTTTTTTAATATTTTTTTTATAAATTTACAAAAAAGAAAAGAATATTACCACAAAATAAAATACTTTTGTAATATTTAAGTTAAAATTTGTTGCTATAAAAGCAACAAATTTTGAATTCTATAATGGACCCTTAATACTGTGCTTTATAGCCCAAGACCAACCTTGCCACTGACTTCTGCAGTTATAAAACTTTTTAATGTAACTGTATGTAAATGAAAAATGAGTAAAAATATAATAACCACCTACAATATGCTCGGATTACCTGCCCTCAGTTAGCTGCAACCTAGACTTACCAGTTGAAAATGGGTAATATTTTGTTAAGATTAACAAACTTTTCATGCTATTTTTCTAAAATTTACACCAAACGGAAATTAACTCTTTTCTATACACGGTTACGTTTAAAACAATGGCCACAAGCAAGGGTAGTAACGTAGCATTGCCATTGTAACACCTGGGAACGCTACGTTGCGGCTAACTAACAGTAGGCTATATTCTATTTCAACTTATCTTTCATTTAAACCAAATTTTATAAAAAAGTGTTATATTTGCAGAATTTATTGACAGGATCTTAGGCTAATAATTTTAAAATCACAAGATTTGATCATATAAATCTATGTTTTACAAGATCCAGTATAAGAATTTAACAATCACGTTATAATAGTTTTGTCATTTATAAACATTCAACAATGGACATGTTTTACTTCTTATGCTGGATCTTAATCTACTATATGCGTAGATAGCCTTTGGCACGAATACCGTTATAACGTATATGATTACCTAACTACTTAATTATTGTATAATCACTAAGTATTTCCTATCAATTACAAAGTTTTGTATACAGTAAACTGTCATGCCACTCCAGGGTGGTACACAAACGCCTGCATCTATGAATCCGGAATTGTAATAATTTATTTAAAATCAATTTTTTTTAATAGGAAACAGCATATTTCTCTGGTGTCTACAATAATGGTTCATTAGATATAATTTTAGTAGATTATTATGAATTAATAATGACAAACTTCACTTTGTAATTGATAACAATTATATAGTGGCACGATTGTGGCAATAATGCACAATGTTTTAATAGTTAACAATACCTTAGTAATAATAATAAACTGAAAAAATATATCTAACAGACACGTAAAATATAAAAATCCACCTAAGTTACCGAGGTAATTTTTACTTACGTGATCGAACAACCGTAAAAGAGTAAATATATTTTTTTATCAAAAAAGTCAAACAAGAAAAAAGTAAAAAAAAAACAAAAATATGAAGTAAAACAAAAAATATTTAAATACTTTATATATGTAATTTTTTTAATTACATAGACATATTTATATTGCTGCGGAAATCGAATCCGCAACCAATAAAACGATGTGGCGGTGCGTTCTCTACACCACCAAAGACACCGATCTAACAAAACTACTTAATAATCACAAAGGACCCTGCCATTATTTATACATATACAGTCGAACTTACGCAAGAGATTTGTAGAGCATTTATAAAAAGGCAGATTATTATTAATGTGAAAACACAATAACTACTATTAGGCAACTGCCTATTAGAGAGAAGAGTCGATACACAAATTGGTCAGCCATCATCACCTTTTGTACGATAATCCAAATTTTCATTTCTGTAGTCTCGTGCAATAGTAAATCCTCAATCGTGTTCAGAGCTTATGAGTTCTTGACATATTTCTCGTATGCCTCCAGTACATAGTACACAAAATTGCATTATATCTACAACCTTTATTTAAGGCGCTGAGCTAAATATTAAATACTAGTCATCTATTTACGGTTAGCTATGGACGGTACATTACCAATTTCCTCGAGACGATGAGGTCCTGATTTTTTTGCTTATTAAATTCCGTCGTTGATGTTAGAAACTGCGCGGAATGTGCGTGAAATCGTTGTTAAGTGCTCGTGTAAAAAAGTTGTCGATAGAATCTGTAACAACAAATGTATTATTATAAGCATTACCAACAACAGTAATCAATATTTAATTTCAAAAGGAATTGTTTTATCTGCAGGAATTATTTTTAAAAGCTTATGGGTAATATTATTATTGAAAGACGGGCTTTTTCAGGCAAAAAACTTGTGACACTGCGACTTTTCCATGATCTTTTGTGTTTGCCCTTTCTTAAAGTTCATTGCTAATTCCTATCACTGATAGTAAGTTTAAGATGTTTTTTGTAGCAATGTTTTTTTATCTCCTCAGGATATAAAGTTTATTTTCCTAAGCAGATAGATACTCTTTATTGTTTTCTCCAAAAGATTACAATAGTAAACTTATTACAAATATAAACAATTACCAGCAATAATCACAATGAGAAAACAATGAGCGATTAACGCTAAAAGCTATATATCGTTTATGTATGACTGGCCTACAACTACAAATTCGGCGATTCCTCCTTATTTTGACAAAATCTACAAACACTTTTTGGGCATTAACCCATAAGTTAAATTCAGAAATGCGTTAAGAGCTGCTCACGGCGTAGTACCTATGGCAATGTCAAAGAAAGTACATAGCGCCATTGGCTTGTCCTCAAGAGTTTTATCAACCTTTTAGATGATCTCGAGCAATGCGGTTTCAGTTGGTTGGCCCTTGCGTTAGGTGTGTCGATTCTAAGCCTAAGAGAGATGTACTGAGAACAGTGGTTTTTATGTACTGAACTTGTACCATCCATCGTTTTGACGAAGAAAGAGGTAAAACTGATTGGTGTGCGAGACTTTGGCTGCGAGTAGACTCTTCGACCAGTTTTTAACACGAAGGTTATTTTGGTCTTTGTGTTTCCAAAAATTATACCCAGGGGAAAAGGTGGTTCTAAATATTTTGACCAGAACTTGTGCTAGAACTTCAAGTTCCTTAGGTAAAAGACTTATTTGATGAAGAAGTACACATGCAAATTAAATTTCCAAATAACAAATAAAAATATTAAAGTAAATAATAAGTACCTATATGTTAATAAATGACTTTTGCGATTAGTTACGGACGGATTATCACAAATTTCTTTCTAACCAGGAGACAATGAGGTCCTGATGAGTTCGCTTGTCAGCCTCCGTTGTTGCTTCTAGTGACTGAAGTATCGTCGACAATGTTCGAGAAATCGCTATTAAGCGTTTGTGTAATGAAGTCGAAGACAGCATTAAAACCTGTAACAATAAATTATATAATAGTTCACTTTATTATATTGAAGGGGTACTAACAACAACAATTAACATTCAATCTCCAAACAAATTGTAACAGTAATTTATTTCAATTTTGAGAACAAAAAAAGAAAAACAAAAATCGCTGCAAACTTGAAACTTGACATACTTATTTCTTAATGTGACGTGTGTAAGTTGTAAAAAAAGTTAATTATGTGAGAGGACTCCAAGGGCCGGATTTTGACGATTTAAAAATGTAAAAATTATTTTTTTTTCAATATTTAAAATCATTTAAGGATAAAGTTTGTAATTAAAGTACATTTATTATATGTACTCTTTTTAAGATGTCATTAACGCTGTATTTAAACTACTACACCAAGTATCATGGTTGCAGCAATTTGATTCCTATTATTTTTACATTATCTTATTCTAATTAATTCAGCTAGTTTAACTGTACTATATGAGTTTGAGAAACTACAAAATTATTAAACGCAACATCAATTATGTCTTTATATAGGTAATAATGTATTCACAAATAATTAACACGACAGTTTCCAGTTGCGGTCGTGTGGGGGACCACTTATCAAGGAACATTACTAGTAAGATAGCTGTTAGTTCTAGAACCTGTTCTATTGTTTAAGCAATACAAATTTTTTATTAGTAGAAACTTTAAATCTCACCTTGACTTCGTGGCTGAGAGGCAAAATGGTAATGATCCACCAATGCCAAGTGGGTCCGTCAGTAGCGCTCCACGTATCCACATCTGAATCGACTGTAGTTATAGTACCATAAGAGCTAAGTATTTCTGTGACAAGATTACGGGGCATAGACGTAAGCCACGTGGTAAACTTGGTCGAGATTTCCTCCGCTAGAACATTCAATTCTGGCAGCAAAGACATTTCGGTCACAATGTCGCTAATGACTTCTATTCTGGCTGTATCATATCTGCAATAACATGCATTTATTAATAAACCTATATTAAATACTTATGACTGTTTATAGGTTACAGCAATACGTAGAAAACCATCTTTTCACGCGCCCGCGTAACGAAAAGATTTCCACATGGGCAGTAAAAAGATAATGCTCTGCGTCTATTAAAATAAAATTTATTTTATGTTTCTATAAATAATACTACAATATTGAAAGTGTCATTAAATTAAAAATAAATGTTCTAAAGAAGCAGAGATCTATTCAATAGTGATTAAGGGTTATCAGTCACACGTAACCCGATTTCCCATTCCCGTTTTATTAATGCATATAATTTAAGATTTAAAATATTTTAAGAGTTGGTGATGATGTTTATGTTGTGTGTACATCATAAAAAAAAAACAGGAATTTCATTTTACGCTTTTTTAACGTCTACATGTTTCCATATTTAAATATAATTGTATGTCTCTAATTAATCAATATGAAATTATATATGTAGTATAGCGATTTCTAATAATTATTACCTACTTAACTGTATCTCTTATTCTGTTCAGAATTTATCCCGTACAATATTTTTGCAAATCAAACGTACTTAACGTGTAGATATGCAAAATTTTGTGTCCATTAGGACGCTAAGAGGTTACAAAGTGATTAATAAGTATTATAAAAAAAAAAAACTACTTAAGATATTTTATAGATATTAATAAGAATAATGATCACTCACCCGTCGCAAACATTTTTTTCAATCATCTTAAAGCGAGAGACACCGATAGTTGACAAAATATAAGATCCATCTTCTAAAAGCAAACAATCTCGCACTTCTAAGATCTGTAAAGAATTTGTTTATTTATAACTTGTTTTGATTGTTACGTAAATAAACATAATTACGTAAATATTTAAAAAACTTCTAATTTAGATTTTTTTAAATTATATGTTTGCTTACTCTATTTTGATGAAATATGACAGCAAAAAATATTTTAGACAACATAATGCCTATATGATGACAGCACAGTTATATATATTCGTCATGCATGTCTGCCATTGGGATAGGCAGAAACAATTATGTAAAACATATAATAAAATAAAAACCTAAAATATTAAATATTTGTTTGGGTACTTTGTTAGATTTAAAAGGTATATGTACTCTCATGGTCGTAGCTGGAGGGAGGAGCATTGAGAACATCAATGTTTTACCTTTAAAGGCCCAATAAAATTAAAGAGACTTCAATTTTTTTGAAAACGTCGTAAAATCCTTTGAAAGATTATTTATTTATTTATTTAACTTTTTATTGCACCATAAACAAAAATATACAATGACAAGTGAGTAATTCAAGTGAAATACAGTTACATAAATATAGATTGAAATATATACATAAAGATACAAAAGGCGGTCTTATTGCTAGGGCAATCTCTTACAGACAACCTTTGGTTAAAGGAGAACAGATAGAAGTAGGCAGGTGGCGCAAGAGTGAATTAATTTTTCGTGCATAAAATACAAAAACCTGTAATGCACAAAATATCAAATACTATATGTATTTGATATTTTTGATATTTATTAAACTACCTACTATATATATATATATATATAAAATTTTAAGTATAAAGTGTATGTTTACCATTTATATTAAAAAATATTAGTACGTTATATACTTACAGTGCCATAACAAGAGTTGGGCTGCATCTCTGTTGGGATCATGCCGAAGTAGCGAGGTTCCGTTTCTATTATACGTCGAACCATAAGCCAGTGGCGCCGGTTGAAAATAAATAGGGAGCACGATACTCTGTAATATATGATATAAATAATTATTTATTAAATTAACAAAATTCGATTTGGGACCTAGCATCCGGATGATAATGGTTTGTAATAGATAGTTCATTTTACTTGATTTAATATAAAACAGGTCTCTATCAACCAACAGAAAAGTCATACACTGTATATTTTATAATCACGAAACAAGGATCAGAATCAAAGTTGTCATTCTGAATTAGTTTCTAGTCTTAATTATAAAAAAATAATTGTATTTGCCAACTGACTAATTTCAAATTAATATAGATATATTATTAAAACATAAAAATCAAATTTTAATAATACTAATACATATTATAAATTCGTAAGTTTTTGAAGATGTTTGCATGTTTTTTACTATATCACGCAAAAACAGCTGAAAGGATTGAATAAACTTTGGTACACGGGTGACCTATCCTAATCTAACGTAACATATGGGATACTTTATATACCGATTCACGCGGAAAAAGTAGCAGGAAATGAAATATAATTTCAATAATATCTTCATCAACCATATTTTAATATTTCTAAATTCCTCATAATTTATATCACGGCACGGTTAAACTTTTGACCTAATTTGGTTGAGAAGGAAGATAGAAGTTAAAAAGTTAATGAGGACTGTGTGACATTTTTAAAACTTTCCTATTTTATGAGTGTTCCGTAGAATTCTACGCTATACTCACCCAGGGAATGCTACGGTGCAAACACACAGTGGTATCACATTGGGATCTGGCACTATATCCGGTTTAACAGCACCAATCGATGTTAAAACGGTGTCTATCATATTGATAGAACACATCTGTAAAACAATATTCAATTAATCACGCTGTAAAAAAATTGATAAGAACTCTGAAGGGTGCACTCATTTGCTGATCGATCCTTGGCGCTTGTTTGGGGGAGCTGGCCCTTGAGAAGAATAAAACGAATTTACGAACGCTAATACGAATTCATTGTCGAACTTTTTTAAGTATCTGTTTGCGAAAATGTAAGACTTATATTATGAAGATTTAATTTTAATGATGATTTAAAAGTTTGTAATAAACGTTTATTTAAATAAGCGGATTATATATATATATATATATATATATATATATATATATATATATATATATATATATATATATATATATATATATATATATATATATATATATACACACACACACACTTGACTTAAGTATCGTTAAGGTACTCAATAAAGATTTTTCTCCATTACCATATTATAAATAAAATATATAGACAAGATACACGAAATACACGGAACAGGTTATGAATAGTATTTATTTAAAAAGAAAATAATAAATAAAAAAGTAACAAATAATATTTAACAATCTTTATATAAAATTTCTATATTGAACGCAAATTTGTTGAATTACAGAGTCTATATAATATTTGTATAGGTACCTAAAGCAACTATATATTGGGTCATTAATTTCTTATCTCTAATAATAAAAGGTCAATTCAGTTTAATGACATTGATATACCTATTGTGTCTAAAAATAATTATCTTTAAATGATAACCTATTACGTTATTAGCCAAAAAAAATCGTATTCGCATTTTATATAACTGTAACGACATTGTAAACAGTTTCAGCGTCTAGATATTACACGACATTTATAGAATTTTATGATTGTATCATATACACGTTTTAACTGTAAACAAGTTTTTTGTAATAATATTATCTTTTTATATTTAATTTGTTATAGGTAGATAATAAGTACTATTCATACTGCCATAAGAGTTTATTGTGTTAGTGACTAACGCAATTAACAGCTAATTTCATATTAGATTTCATATTTCAACTTGTTTTAATGAATGTGTTCTGGTTTGATAGATGGAATATGGCGGTCTAATTACAGAATACTGAAACACAATGTTTTAATTCTAAGGAATTCCTTACGATTAAAATATTGTGTCTATTGTAACACATGAGGGGTATAATTATAGTTCCCCTAGGGACTAGGTATGAAGGTAAGTATAGTCTATCTTTTTACACTTAGCATATCTAGTAAACGATCTTAAACAATCGAAATAAAAAGACAGAGCTACTACTAGTCAAATAATATTAACAAAAAGCTAGAATAAAAATATGTTTGTGTTGATTATATGTTATTGTCAAATATTATCTTTTTGTCTGTCTTATTTTTGAATTATCAATTTCGAAGAAAAATATGACAATTGTTTACTGAAGATACCAAGTACCTATAATAAAACTAACAACAGATATTTCAATAAAAATATTGCCACTACTTGGAAAATGATTACTGTCGCCTATAGACTTCAACAGCATTACAGACAATATACTGTGATATTGGCTGTTCAGGTATGTCTGTAAAACAACATACTACCCGCATCTAACAGCGAGTTGGTTAATGTACCTTAAATACTGTACTGAAAATTACAAGAAAATATATTGTAACTCCTATACTACTACACCTCATGCAATGCCCTTCCTGATGATTAAAGTATTATTATATTATGGACTAAAATATTAAATATATAAAGTTACTTACCGATCGCAGATTAAAACCTCGCAACGATCTTTTACATAATGGACACGGCAGATTATAATCCACCGACCGTTCAATACATGTTTGACAATAAGTATGCCCACACGGGGTAGTAATAGGTTTGGTAAATGTCTCGAAGCATAGCACGCACTCAAGGTCCGATGGCTTGAGCCAAGATTTAGTAGCCTGGCTACTAAGTAATCCACATATTACATTTTTAGTGGTGTCACAAAATTTTCCTCTAGTCATATAGGACAATAGCTGCAATAATTAATATAATACATACAGGATAAAGTTAAACCATTTAACATAATTTTAAGGTTCTGCCAGTGAAATTAAACTTATTTCCTAAGGAAATATATTTGACAGCTGGATATACTGTCTCAGTATTTTAAATGTAATTCGTGTTTCTTTAGGAAATTCCCTTTCATTGGTAGAATACTACCTTAAAAGAATGTTTAATGATATGAATTTTATGCTGAGTAGTGATAAGTTCCGAAAATAAATTTAAATATGTATAAAAATGCTCATGCTTTAAATTAGCTAGAACCCTTTTATTTGCCCAAATTAGAACTTCTCTTCTGATTTGGGCGAATAAAAAGAAAAAAATTTTAGAAAAGAAATATTTAACATAGCTAATAACATTTCATCTACGAAGAGAATTTGTAAAGGATATACGATATAAAAGAATAGCAGAATAATAACGATATATTACAAGATCTACTAGATATGAAAAAAAAATTAAAAAGTAATGCAAACTATGACGTATTACGATAAAGCATAAATCAAATTTTAAATTAGGTCTTCTGGAATACAACTGCGAAAACCGCAACAATTTTTTTGTAATACCGGAACAAACATACAAGCAGACATACAAAATTTCCGAAAATATTGTTGTTGCTTTCTTAATAAAGGTGATATAAGATTGTCGCCTCATTAAGACACCCCATTATATTTTTTTCTTAGATATTTCCCATGTATAGGCATCGTCTAATTACAAATTAATTTTAATTTATTAGTAAGATAAGAATATACGAACCTGTTCGAGGACTTTACGGGCTTTACGTGATAATACATTGTTGGTGCTAACCGCCACTTTCGCCAATTCACAGGAGGCTTCTAGGTATCTGGTTGACTCCACTAACTCAAAAGAGTAATTATAGCGAATCTAAAAACAAATTTTACTAAATTTAGACAAACACATTTACGAAAAAACTAGAAAAGTACAAAAACTATATTATAAAATTTGATAAATTCATATCCTTGTTCTATTAATTAATTGAATTAAATTAATTAAAAAAAATGCAACTTATAATGGCAAACAAGCTAACGTTCCACCTGATAAAAAATGATAACCGTCGCCTATAGACATGAGCAACACTATGGACATAACAGAGTATACTGAGGACTCAGGTGTTATTCCTCTGTATCCTGTAAATTCACTGCCATATCCTACCCTCCAAATCAAAACACAGCCATACAAATAATTGCTACACGGTTGAAACACGTCTTCTGTAAAGTGTCCCTCCGGTGAAAAAAGATTTAAAAAATTTAAAATCACCATTTACAATCCACAGAAGATATAAATCTAATATCTCTAACAAGGTTTAGTCTCACTATTTATTACATAATTTATAAATTTATACTTATATAGTAAATATGTGTTTCTTACTTGAGGCGAAATGGGGATTCTAGATGATGTATCTGCCAAACGGTGTTCCTCTAAATGTTCTACACTCACTCCATAATATTCACTGATATTTAGCATATCTGCGAACAATGTAATGAAATTAATGAATGATCTATCAACCAACGCACAGCAAGGGTTATAGAGCATAGAAACATGACCATAAAAATCCACTATTAAGGTTTTTGGAAATACCTACAGAAACAAAAGTATTTTAGTATATATTTAGTAGTATACGAAGTAGATTTTTATAAATTTCATCCTCATCTAATATACTCTCACTGGTACCGCGTCATTGTATGTCAAAATTTTTATAGACCCACACTTTAAGAAAATGGTTTTTTTCTATTCTCTAATTAAAACAGAAAAACAGACCATTAATAATAATATAGACTATATTAGGCGACCTCCAGCGGTTTTCTTTTTTTGGGAATCATCGTAGTTATTTCTTAGTGAATTCGGCGCGATGGGCTAACTGACCTGCCTTCATCCTCGCTTATTATTGATAATAATAAATATTTTTTATTCAACTTAATAAGCATTTTTGAATAGTATTTTTTTTAATAAACTACCGCCCAGTTCGGAATGCAATTTTAGCTGAGAAGAACGGGCAAGGGCATTATCCCAGACAGGTAGCTTGCTAGCTTATAATAATTGCGTAATTGGGATTACCATTCCATTTTATACTATAAAAAAAAAAGACTAAAAAGAGAGAGCTCTGAATCGCACGCTCTTGGTTAATCGGTTTTTTTTTTGTTACATATAACTTACGTGTGTTCTAGTGAAATTAATAATTTTTACACAAATATTGCGAACAATTATACTGTAAAGGATTGCAGAATTTATTACGCGAAAATAGGCTTGCGTCGCGCGACGCGGCCTTTTCATAATGAAGCCCAATACGCCTGTGACATTTGTACACTCCGCTACATAATGCTCTGATGTAACAAAATGGAGTCAGAGTTTGCGTTTTATTACATAACTAATAATTTTAGTGATAAGCCTACATCGTTTTTATTGCCTTTGTACACTCATTATTTCAATTATTAATAACAACATCGGTTCTATTGATTAAAACTATTATTACCTACTTAATTTATTCATAGTGTTACATAATAAGATTTATCACATGATGGCGGCAAAGAATCCGCAGCTTATCTCGCGTCTATTTTTTTATTATTAGGTCTGTCGGGGATAATTTAGGTTGAGAACGCCAGGACTAATTTGGCTATATTATATTAATTTTATTTAATTAGATACACATTGAAAAACCTTTGTTATCAGTTGAATTATGATTACAAATAAATTTTAATAGAACAAAAATTAAAGTAGTAAAAATTAATACAGGTGACGTATTTGGAGTAACTACAGGAGAGGCTTCTTTTACTCATAATATACCCAGTACCGGCCTTAGGAAGGGGACACTGAGATAAGGGACCTCCCTCTCAGGAAAGCATCAATACAGTAATAATATAATATTAATTACTTTTAAATCATATAACAATAATAACTATATCTTAAATCTCAGAACACAAACACTTTGTGGTCATCCGACGAAACTGTAGCAAGTTTGGAGGCAAACATTACTGAAACACTTTCTCAATCGGTGTTTCCTAACGTGGGGTCCATGGCCCACAGAGGGGTAAATAAAAAAAATGCTGTAAATATTTATTAGGTATAATTTCGTTTGAAGTTACCAAAATATCAACTGGGTGATTAGAGTCATCAAATAAACTTTGTGAGGAATAATTATGTAAAAATGTTCAAGTGGGGCATGGCACAAAAAAGGAAAAAACTTGGGAAACGCTGTTCTAAATATTAGTAACAAATGGAAACATACAATAATTTGATCGATATTTGCTTTGTACTACTATAGAACAAATAAAAATAAACATTAACAGACAGTGGTCCGGGCAACTATCAGTTTGTTTTGTCATTAAAATCTATTTAAACTGATTATGATAATTATAGTTTGTTGATTATTATTATAATTGTCGTGAATGAATTTTTATATTTTAAAGTTAATTTGCAGGCTAACAGAACGTAATGTTACGTAATAATGCTCTGAATAGAGCAAGCAAACTCAGGCAAAAAAAAAACAGAGAGAGACTGTACAAAAGTCGTTTGCTTGGGCATCTCTGTCCCATTCGTGTTTCTACCGTAAAGCAGTTATGTTTGCATGGCTGTGTTTCAGTTTAAAAGGTGGGATATGGCAGTGAATTTACAGGGTACAGAGGAATAACATTCTGATAAAGGCCTTTTCTTATCTTTATGCCTGTTAAATATCCCACTATAATATGTCCATTGTGTAAATATAAACATGTTATCGTTTACTATATACATAGTGTTGTTTAGTTCAATTATTTAGATAAATAAGTAGATAAAAATAGTGGCAATTGAAAAACGCACGTGTTGCCATGGTGACCAAAAATAACAAAAAATGCGCCTTCAACAAAACTTTTTTCTCTCGTCAATAGGGGATGCCGTCAAGAACTTGCCCCGGGATGCCGGGTAGTCTAAAGCCACCCTGATTATACTTACTTATTTAGATAATATAATAAATATAAAATATAGATAATAATATTTTATACTACTTGACTACAAACAAATTAATGTAACTACAAGTTGTAGTAGTTATTTACTAAATTAATAAACTTGGGATAAGCTGAAAAATAGTCTATGTTAACTTATTAAGTATTAAGTCAATAGTTTGGGTATAACGGTAATGCACCTTAATTGTAATGTAATGTAATTTAGAAATATCAAGTTTTTCAAACCATACAAAATTTATTCGTGGGATAATAACTGTACGTTATACGGTGCTCCTATGAGGTGTTACTATTAACAGTATTTTTAAGAAAATCTGTTTTCTCCTAAATTATCGTATACTATATAGAGAGTATGGAGAGATATATACATATATACATAATTGGAATAATATAATAGATACATAATTGGAGTTGGTTTCTTTTTCTAAATAAGTTTTAAACTGTTACTTAAAAAGTTAACAGCCGTAATATAAAAGATTTTATTTTTAATAAAATTTAATAATAAATTGTTACTCTCGCCTAAATTTTTAACGTATTCTAGCAAATTTAAGCTATCAAACGAATATTTTTTTTTGGAATTTTATAATCATATGGTTTGGTCATACCGTAAATAATAAATGTTATTCCCTAAATAGTAAATTAATGTGATTATTATAATAATATGAATTATTTTGCTTGCTATAATATTGAATTAACCATATCCAGAACTGTTAACTTCGAACTGATGATGTTATTAGTTGCTTAAAACTTTAAGACTATGCTTAAATAAAGCTCTTTCGTATGATACCCTACTAGGACTAATAAGATTATTTTGAAATTTTAAATACCGTTTTTAAACCCTTAGCAAAGGAAGTAAAAATATACTTTACTTTCATTATTTCTTCTAAAATATGTACATATGTGCGGACCAACGTTATCTACAAGTATTCCAAATTTCTAATCTATAGACGGATCTGTTCGTCTATAGATTTTATTAGACGGTTAAAATGGCACCATAATTTATGATGATGAAATTATGAATTATATGAGTATTCACTCGTGACTTCATGGCGTGACCCAACTAGTATATGTATGCCCAAACGTATGACAATTAGTTGAGCATATAACACAACAATAAACAATCAAATTCATTTTTACGTTTATTTTAATACGGTTCATAACGAGATTTCGTGGTGATCCAACAAATTCACGCTCTTTTTATACAATTGCAAATATATTATTAAGATTGATAACATATTTACAATTGTACTAAGATGGAATCATTAATTTACCCTCGAGAATTTACTCAATTTGAATAGGTACCCAAGTTGGTCCACATAATAATACATATTCATCTGAGCGTTGTGTCCACAAATATAACCGGCACAAACAAATGACAGTCGAGAAGCACTTAAACATTCAAGTGACTTTAATAAAACTCATTTGAGAGTTTACTCATATGTAAATTTCGGTAGTATTACTATCACACCGTAAAACTATCGCTATGTGTTTATCTATCAAAATTAAGATATAAATAAAAGGTATACTCCTAATTATGTACATGTAAATATGGCGTCTGCTTTATTATACCAAGTAGTATTAAAACAATACTTTCTTGCTAATATTTTCTAGTGCAATAATAAAGGCAAATTGATCAAACAAATTATGTATAGCAAAAACTAGTACGTTTAGAACAGCTTACAATAGTGTAATTTTCGAAAGAATCTGTTATAGTTAATACATTTATTATATTATATTATGGAAAGAACAATATTAAAAGCGGGTATATTCACTTTTAACCATCTTCAAATAAAAGATTCTTGGCTAAAATTTTATTGAGTAACTACATGTTACGTGATGTATTTACCAATTGTAAAGTGATAGTAATGATTTTTTGTTTAGTCGAAACGATTTATTTTAGGGTTTTCATAGAACTAATCAAAATACTATTACTATTGTAGTACTATTATCAATTGTGAAAATAAGTTTATAGCCTGTTCATAATGGAAAACATTATCAATTTAATTAATAAGTAACGAATATAATATGTTTTAATTTTGAATTAATTAGTAAGTCATATTGCCGTCTGGTCGCAGCATAGAATATGCCACGGGCCTTCATGGAAGAGGCTTTTGTTCAGCAGTGAACAATTAACGGCTGATATGATGATGATAATAAAAGGTCATTTATTTATTTATTCTTTATTGACCACATTACAAAAAAATGTTTGGTACAAAAGGTGGACTTAATACTATATAGCATTCTCTCCCAGTCAACTTTTGGCAAAACAGAAATTTAATTATGCGGTGAAAAAAAATTTAAATTGTAGCAAGCAAATATTAACATATTTACTAAACAAAAATTATAAGGAAACTATTATCGGTCGGAACTATTACTCATCTCATATACTACGTCACGTAAATCATACGTAATATAACACGATGTTATCAACATACTCTAATATCAATGAATATATAATGGATTTAAAACAATTAGCATGTACCGTAGAGTGACCTATATTTTATAGAGTACTGAATGTAATGTAACCTGCGACCCGGTGAAGCGTTCTCCGTCGTTGCAACGCCAACAATATGGTTACATAACGCCATGTAACAAACAAATAGCCGATTTACATAATAGCGTTGTGGTTCGCGATTATAGACTTGGATGTCCACAAGACATCGTATTGCGTGCCTGTACCTAGTTTATTTATATAAAGGATTTTATGAAGTAAACATTTAAACTGTTGCAGTTTTGTATGGCTTTCCTAATTTTTAACTTTTAATTATATAAGCATCAGCTCCAAGTTCGACTCTCTTGTAAATATATTTTGTAATATAGCCCGATAATTGGCACTAGAGGACGAAACAACGTTTGACTGCTCAACTAATAATTATGTATGTATCCATGTAACATAATGACAGAACCTAAAATTATTAATGACAAAAAAGATGCTAAATATAATATTTGGCTTAATATTTATATTTATCTAATATTATAATAAATTTCACATAAACGATCAATCTAGATAGACCTAAACTTGAAAAAAAGTTACATACGTTCTGTATCCAGGTAGGTACTCATTACGAAATCTTTGAAATGAGTTCAGCTCACGATTCTCGTTACTCGGATTTTATACGTTTATGCAAGTCAAAACGTAACTTATGGTTAAAACCATAGATATGCAAGTTTTTATATTTATCAATTTTTAACTTAGTATGTATGTGATTTAACATATTTAGTATAACTAGATGAATTGAAAAAACTAGAGCAAATCTTTCGATTATTTCATCAAAGTTTCCATATATAATTTTATTATCCTTTAATGTGTACATGTTAACTAAATATTTATGTTTAATGCTTGCAAAGATTTTTTAAACAAATTGAAAACGATAGATTGTTAAATCTTATCAAAAGGCCAATGGCTGATAATAAGTTTATTTTAGTACTCCGTATTATAGAAAATACTAACTTGAATCTTCAAGATGTATGTACTCATTTATAAAGATAAAAATATTTAAATTGTTATTACAGATTATAATCTATAATTAAAATAATTTGCATAGAAATATAAGGAAAAGGAGTGTAAGTAAAAGATTGCGTTATTTTCCGTTCCCGTGAGAAATTCCATAATATTTTATAGACTCGTAATAGGTTTATAAGGCCTATCACTACAATGTCATGTTCCGAATTTCGAGACGAGCAATAGACGATATTTCATTTTGTTTGTATAATGACAACGAAAAATTTATAATTGCGCATAATTTATTCGATACTTAATTATCGAGTATTGAATCGAAGGTGAAATGCTCTCGAAATTGTTTTAACAGACAATAATTTCAAATGAGATTTATTCAAATGAATTATGATAATAGACTAAAGTAAGAGTATACTTCAATAAATCATACAATCATATTAACTTAATTCAAGCAAAATTAAGTTGACTACATTTTTAATGACATTTAATTTCCAGTATTATTTTTTTAATCATCATTATCATTACAATGTAAGAAGGGTTCTCAAATTTTTCTATAAACTATTAAAGAAATTCGGTTACCAAATCGCACCAATGGATATATTCAAACAAATAAATTCTTATTGACTTTAGACATAAGATTCCTTATCTTTTAATTATATACTTAATAGCATATAAAAATAGGAGTATATTTGTACAATTGAAATTAAAATCGCTATAGCGCTATAAACAGAGAGTTGCACTTTTTTGTGTAATGCAAGCAAAGCAAACGCTGTTTTCGAAGACTATTATGACATTTATTTTATGACATAACTGGTTAAGGGCGTCGTTATGCTAAAGAAATAAAATTATAATAAAATTATGTAAACAATAAAGAGATCTGCTAATTCGCTGTATGCAATAATAATATTATAAACAGTGAGCACAATATTGTAATGTGAATGTTTCATGTCATTAGCAGTATAAATACAATCGAAATCGCTAGTATCCTGGATATCCGCAAGAGACGAGTTGCTATGATATAATAAAAAAAATTTTAGCCTTCCATATTATCATGGTGCGAGCTGTCAAGTACAAATTTGTATGTGTGTAACATTTTTATAAAATATTCAGTTGTCGTTAGAACACTGTCTTAATATACACATATTATATATATATATATATATATATATATATATATATATATATATATGTGTGTGTGTGTGTGTGTGTGTGTGTGTGTATGTGTGTATGTGCAAATATAAAGTGTATATTGTGATGCATTAAAATTAACCAAAATATCACTGTTACGTGTTATACAACTTTGCGATTACTGCCACATTTAATTAGTGATAATAATGAATGTGTCTATCATAATTAATATATTTGTAATTAAGAAATTATGTACAATATGTCCAGAAATAAACCGACCTTCGGCCTGAAGATTTTATTACCATCCAACTATTTTTTTCTTATAATTTTGCACTATCAATAATCAGTAGCGTCTTATATTTTTTTGCTATTATTACAAATAAATCTGTATTTAGACATTTATGGCATTCATGGCAAGGACAATCTGAGTGAAGTATGATAGATTTTGTAATTATGGAAGAACGGTTGAGAGTGAAAGTGAAGGATGCAAGATTGTATAGTAGTACAAATGTCGGAACCGACCATTTTTTGGTAATATCAAGAATAAGTGTGTTTTTTTTTTTCAATCAATGGCAACATCATCGCCTATGTCAGGAATAAAAAAAGTGAGAGCAGTATTGATATAAAAGCAAATTCGAAATCAGTATCAGAAAATATAGAATGAAAAATTTAGAGAGTTACTGAAAAAAGATGGCTGTAAGGTAAAAAATGTTTGGAAGGAATTTAAAAATGAAAGCGTGCAAATAGCTACTCAAGTTTGTACGAGTAGTATAGTAAGAAGAAGGATGTTAAGACGAGAATGAATGTATGGTAGAATGACGAAAGAGATGACGGTTCTAAAGATAAAGTCATAATTTAATTTGTTGAAAACATCGCAAAAGAGAAGTATGACCTGATAAAAAAGAAAGTTAAAAGTATTTCTTTAAATAATGAGGAAAAAGAAAGAAAAATGTAGGGAGGAGTACATAAAGAAATTCTCTAGAAATTCTCTAGCTAAGTAAAAGCTATTCTGACAATTGGTTTGAATAGATAAGAGTTTACATTATAGGGGTTGCGGATGACAATATAATCAGAGAGGAACTGGAAGTATTTGATCACTGTAAGAGATATTTCGAAAGTTTATTTAAATGTGGAAGTTAATAGTGAAAGTGATAAAAGCATGGATGAGGTAATAAATGCAACGAAGACAATGAAAGTTGGGTAATCAGCAGATTCGATAGAATATTTGCTGAAATGCTTAAAGAAGGTGGAGAAATCATTGAAGCTTGCTATCTGCTATTTAACAAATGTTGGCGGTTCAATTGTGTACTAGCAAAATTGTTATTGTGGCACTATATAAAGACAGTGGGTCATAGCAGGAGTGTAAAAATTTTCGTGGAATAAACCTTTTTAGTGCCGTAGACGTATAATTTGCTTAGGTTTTGACTAAAAGAGTAATGAATGAAACAGAGAGTAAAATTTGGGACGTATAAGCAGGTTTTCAAAAAGATATAAAATGTACGCATTAAGTTTTTTCCTTAAGAATTATAGCAGAGACAACTGTAATTCAACATCAGAAGAGTTTTTACGTCTTCTAGATGCTGAAAAAGCTTATAATAGAGGGAAGAGTTACTACATGTGGTTGTCACTGGGTGTGTATGGAGCAGACTGTCTGTGTTAGCACAAATGGGCTGGTTTGGCACTGAACATGGGACTAAATGGGGCTGTATGACATTTTCTTGGCTATTCAATCTATGTGTTTATGGACAGTTATTTGACCGATTTGAAAGAGTCTGATTGCGGATTTTAAATATATGAGTCTCTGTTTAAGACTTTTATATGCCGCCTACTATGTACTGCTTGCATCGTCGAGATATGAATTACAAGAAGTGCTGACAGCAATGAATAAAGCATATTCAATAAGTGGCATGAAAATAAATGCGAAAAAGATGAAGCTAACGGTGTGTTTAAAACCAAGTGAGTTTAGTTGGGTTCATTATTTATGAGGGAATGAAAGTGTGAGGGAAATATTAAAAGGAGCACAGTTTTCAATTATTACAAGCAAAAACCTATTGCTATCAGTATTTTATCTATAGAGATTTAAAGAGCTTCAACGAATGGAGATATCGGTAGGGGCTGCCCTAGACCGTATGTCGACCAAATAGGCGATGTGTTGAAGAGGGGCTAAATTCAAAGTACCATAACTGGCGAACGTGTAAAAAAATATTGACGATTTTGGAGAAAGTGACAGAGGTTTGTTTAAATTGAAGCATTTGGCGTGTTAATTTTTCCGCTTACCCTAATGGGAAACGGGTATGATAGATATGCATGTATGTCAAAAGTTAAAGTTTAATCAGTATTGAAGTATAAAACTATGACTGTAAAAAATTTAAATGAGCTTAAGAATTGAGAATGTTATTTACATTATAAATTTTTCTATAATGTTGTTTATTTTATTGTATAAATAATAAAAAGTGTATACATAATGACTTATAATTCGCATTGCAATTTTTGAAATACAGTAATAAATAAAATAACTTACCTGAACTGTCCTTCAGAGACTGCGATTCAAACGTTTGTTTGATGTAGGCTCTGTTTAAAAGAAAAATACATTAAGTTCAAACATTGGTAAAATCAATCTGCATCAATTAGCAACACTTTTAGCTTATTCATTTGTATTATACAAATGAATGAGCTAAAAGTGTTGCTAAGAACGAAACTCGAGAATTAATGGCTCAATTAATTTTTATTTTATTTTTAAAGATTCGTTGAAACCTAGTGAAGGTTCTTAAGAAAATAAAAATTGCCCAGAGTAACGTAAGAATCCTATTTTATTTTCTCATACAAACTGCTCCTAGCACTCATATAGATTTTGACAGAACGACGCCTGCCTGTCTAGTTAGTCTATATGAGTTAGACTTTGTGTAAATTATAAGCATCGTTGTGCTTCAACTTAAAATTTTAAGTATATACCAACACATAGCACAAATCGTATGACGATAATTAAAATTCACTTACCTAATTTTCTTTTCAGTTTGTAATAACTTTTCTAGTATATCTTTAGCCAAGACGTTGACTTGGGATACATCAAATTCAACATTTCCGCATGGACATCTCTTTACTGTTCCATCCCATTCCAATTCCAGTTGGTTATTTCGAACACATCTGGCAAAAATAAATTATTATATTACTACCACATAATAACCAGTAAAATATATTCTTCTCTATTACCGAATCTATTTGAATTTTTTTATAAATAATTTACAATCTAGATATAGTCATCATAAGCAAGGAAATTAATTCTTAATGTACTTTCGAAGTCACTACTCTATGTTATTATTATTAACAAGACATACAAGACATACAAGCAATTAATAAATTGTCCGTGTAATAATTTCACTATACTTTCAGAAATTTTAATTTAAGAAATAGTGTGCTATTATTTTCTGTCTCTAAAATTCAAATTTTTGGCACAATAGGACACAATGATTCTTACATAAATAACATATTGAATACTTACTTATAGCATCGAGTGTGTCCACATTTTCCGGATACTGGATTTGAGGGTAAAAGTAAGCAGTCAGGGCATCGCAAACTATACTCGTCGATGGTTAAATGCATAGCGGCAAATCTTAATATTTTATCAGCCATTCGTTTGACGCTCGTGTTTACTACGGAATTTAGAGAAATGGGATAGGGATATAGAAAACATAAACGGTTGCGATTAGAATTTCTTCTGGACTGATGTGAAACTAAATTTGAAGAGGTTTGGGGCTTGGGTTTTGGACGCGACGGCTTCATAGCTGACGTCGATTGCTGTGGTAACGCCCAATCTGACACTTCTGAGAAAACTAGTGAGCTCGCTACTGACGTGGAAGCAAACTTCGCCTGTACCTAGAAGAAAATAATAAAATTTAAAAATGTAGATGCTATGTATCCAAAATTTCTTATATGTTATTTTCTAATAGCCCTTACTCGTAACTTAGACCGCATAACCAAAATAAAAAGGAGCTTATTTCCTTTTTCATCCGAATTAGTACTTGTACATCAAATTTCATGATGATGGTTATAGTTAAAATGCCAAAAAATAACAAACAAATAAAATCACTTTCACATTAATATACATTCGTAAGTTATTTTTACGTTATCCTTATGAGTATGTACAATATTCGCATAGTGATAAGGTACGAATTCATTTAATGAGCCACTTATTATTGCTTATCCTTAGAACAAGTACCAACAAATCTATTAATAGAATCATCCTTAGCGAGTTCGTGGGATAAAATGAGAGTGAAGTATGCTTTCTTGTTCTCTCTCAAGTAAGTGCTGACCGCGATTCTTAAATTCGTTTGTATCTTATCTAGGGAGGTAGCAATAGCTAATAAATAATAGCTACTACCTCCCTAGCTAATAATGTTGTCGAGTGCGATGTGCTTAATAATAGCTTGTTAGAAATAAATGTTACATTAGGATAGCTATCGTGGTTTATGTGTCAATTGCTCTATCACGTATTATTAATATAGGTTGTAAACTATACTAATATTATAAAGAAGCAAGATTCATTATAAATTAATAATTTTAAAAATGCTTTAAAAATTATCTCACTTTTAGAGAGTTACATTATCAAAGAGATCAATATATACTATATATTAATTACAAAAAATCAACCTACGCGTGCGAAGCCGGCCCGATTTGCTAACACTAAATAAAAGAGTTCTTTGTACCCATATTTGTTTTTTTAAGTTTATGTTTCTTAAGGTAATAGGTACCTAATAAAATTATGTTTCTTTAATTACGTATGAAAAAATTCCTGGACATGCTGATTTCTCGTTTAAAGTTTTGTAGTCTATCATTGGTCAACAAAATAAATTAGATTATAAAGAGGTATAGCATATATTTATACTAGTGGAATCAGTACATTCCGTAGAATTCCGTACAAGTGCAGAAGTCTATAAGATTAGATAGATCTTTGTTATTCTTTCACGAAAAATTACCGGACGGATTTTGATGAAACTTTGTAATGTTAGGTATATATATACATAGCTTATGCAAAAGTATACAAATGACTATAATAGACAAAGATATTAGGTAAATTGTCCGAAGTATATCTAAATGAAGTCGACAAAAATCCTGCCAGATGGCAGCGTTTTTTTCCGCGTGCGCCGTAAAAACGATAAAGTTAAACGAAGTTTATGGTGAAAACTGTAGTTAGAAGTTCTAAAAAAAGTCCGCGCCTTCACAAATTATTTTTTAGAAAAAGCAAGACATTTTAATTTAATATTGTATTTACAGTGGACATTTATGATTTTATATATTAATCTTTATCCAAATAAATACTATACAAAATAGATAATCTTTGTCTTTTACAGTAAATAATTTGTGTAAATTGTTTTAACTTTAAGATAGTATCTTTAGTAGAACGTGCGTAAGTTGCGCTTGCGCGGTGTCAGTTTAAAATTAAATTCGAAAAAGGTTTTGTAATTAATTTTAGTTATTTTATTGAAGCTTTACAATATTTTAAGAATAATTTATTGAATTTTTTAATTTAAAAAAATTAAGGTTTAGTTATTTTTGAAATGAATGATTTCTGAATAAATGATATAAATACCTAGGTAGATTCCTGTTTATTATAATTAAGTATTTGAATAACTTATGAAAAAAAGTATTAAGAACATATTACAGTTTCAAAAATAATAAAACAACAAAAAATATTAAAATTACTTAAGACAATGATTTGTATGTTTTCGCTAAGAAACGGATCGTTGTAAAATTCATGAAGTTGAAAGTAAATAGGTTTATTTACTTACTTAGACAGTACTTAACTTAGACAGACTTTAAGATACTGGGGAATTATTAAAAAAAATAATTTTACAATTAAAATTAATCTACAGTATTTGTCAAATATAATTTTTGACTAAATTAATAACACTGATGCCTATTTTATAAATGAACGCCTTATATAAACAATGGATTTATGTTATCTAAAACGTGACCTCACACACGAGCGCGATAACCATTAAGGACAAACAATATATTGCTAAAATATATTTTTTATCTATTGACAAATTGAATGTAGTTAGGTAGATAGTTATGTAAACGCAGACATACTTGCGTTTATGGTGAATTGAATTACACAAACTTATTGACAAATAAGTGTAGGTACTAACATTATAATTGTAAAATATATTTCAAGTAAATCAATATATTATGATAACCTACAAGTATAAATTGCAAAAAGTTTCTATTGTATAAACTAGTACTACTGTGTGGGTAGATACCTACGTATAAACAAAAAATAAACAAAAAATTAATAAATACTAAATACTGTGCTGCAAAATATGTAAGTAATAATTATTTTACACTATATTAGTTACTATAAAAATAATATTCTTACCTTATATTAGTTATAAAAAAAAACATTTTAAACACAATACGAAATAAAAAATTATATAAAAGGAAAAAAAAGTAATTTAAAATTTTATTAATTTACCATACAGCAATGTGATTAAAAGTATAACAAATTAGTCCACAAAAGTGCACACCGTCGTAAATGCGAAACTACAAGTACGCGCGCCGCGACGTCGCGTCGTCGCTCGAGTAACCAAGCGGTATGACAATATGAACTTGGCCTAGTGAACGCGAGGCGAGGCGTGCTCGCCGCGGCGTGCAACGCTTGGCCGCTCGTTCTCTGATTACGTATCTCGCAGTGTTTGCAATAGTCGAAAATTGCACGATATTTTTTTTTTGGTGAATCTTTATTTTGATCATGTTTTGAATTAAAAATTTATGGTCATATTTTTTATGGCTTTTATATAATAATACAAGCTGTATCGCGCAGCTTCGCCCATGCCACGTCGTATCGTGATGTTGAATAACCTATAACCATCCTCAGGGGAAAAGGGATTGTTAGCGATAGGGTCTAAGAGCGCCATTGCTAACAATCTTACTAATCAGGTCGTGAAACCTCCACATGGTTTCCCCTGGAAACTATCGTGGTTACTTCTAGTGGTATTCTTCACGATGGGCTTACTGACCGGCTTTCATAGTTATCTATCATCTTCCATTATTGCCCCGCCAGCGTATACCGTTAGCGCAGGCGGGGGGTTACTATTTCATTATCACTCATTTAAACCGGTAACCGTCCTTAAAAAAATAAGCTATAAAATTTTAAAATTATTTTACAAATTTTACTGATACTTCCAGAGATGAACAAACAAACTCTTCCATTTTATTTTTATTACAATCAGTATAGATTTTGTACAGTCCATGCCAACATAAAACAATACCATAATTGCAATTATTTCTCAAACAATTTGGGGTAATGAAATGAAATGAAATTTATTTATTTGTTATAAAAGTAGTACATAATATATGGTATGGTTATTTCTGTTATATATATCTCAATTTTAGTCTTTACAGACATGCAAATATATATTTGAATTAATCTATTATTATTCTATATACAATTCAATTAAAGTATACATTTATTATTATTATAAAAAGTAATAAAAATATTTTTATAAACTGTCATATATTCATTACGAATGTTAAAATTATATCAAGTTCGTATTTTCAATATATTATGTTTTCTAATAATTATAGTTCAACATCATTTATATAATCACTTATTGTCAATTAATAAATTAAATAATTGTATTTTAAATTGTGTCGATTATTTTAAAGGGGTCGGTAATTTGTTGTATATCCGGATAGCCATTGGATAACAACTTCTTTTATATAGGTCCGTTAAAATTATAGGCAATATTAGCTTATTTGGATATCTTCCACGATAATTGTCGACATTATTACAATACTTTTCAAATAAATAAGTATGTGTTTTCACAAAGTTACATGTTTCATAAATATATATCAGCTATATTTACAAGACGCCATAAGACATAGGAAAAACTATTAATTTTACTGTTTAGGTTTTTTATGTGTGGTTTCCATGTACAGTGATTATCCAACATGATTCCTAGAAATTTCACAATGTCACATTCATTAATTAATTGATTATTGTGTTTAATCATTAAGTCAAATGTTTTGTTATTTCGTTGATTATTTATTGAATATATTTAGTTTTGTCTATATTAATTTAGATTATTTTCTTTTAGATTATTATTTTAGATTATTTTCTTCTAGCCAATTAATAATATCAGATACGGTTTTATTAATTTCTTTATTATATACATACTCAGAGTCATTGCGATATATAGCCATTGCGATACCAAATATGGTATCGCAATGGCTATATCGTCCGCAAATAGAGTGCAAAAATGTCTGGTTATAGTCGGTAGGTCATTTATGAATAAAATAAATAATAATAGACCCAAAATACTTCCTTGTGATATTCCAATGTCTTTTACTTTATCGTCAGATTTATACAATATTTCGTTTAACTGTGGATCAAGATTTGTTAGTTCAACTCGTTGAATTCTATGACTTAAATAAGTTCTTAACCAGTTATAAGCATTGCCCCTAAGTCCATATCTATCACATTTAGACAGTAATAGCTCATGTGAAACGAAATCAAACGCCTTGCTCATATCATAGAATACAGTTGTAACTTCAATAGATTTATCAACATTACTCAAAATGGTACTGGCGAGTCTAAAAGCTGCTAGCGAAGTAGATTTTCCCTTTTGGAAACCGTTTTGATTTTCATTCAATATATTATGTTTATTTATAAATTTTGTCATTCTATTATGCTCTTTCATAGATTTTAGATAATACTGATAGTAGTGCAATTGGTCTAAAGTTATCGACGTGCTCAGTATTATGCTTCTTATGTATAGGTTTTACAATTGTAATTTTTAATTTGTCTGGGAATATACCGTGAAGAAATGACAGATTTATTAAGTAACTTAAAACGGGTGCTATAATAGTTTTGGTAGCTTTGATTATATTCATAGGTAGTTCATCATTTCCTACTGATTTTGTGTTTTTTTGATTTTGTATTATACTACATATCTCATTTTGATCTGTTGGAAATAAAAATTTGCTGTCATTTATACGTTGAACATTTCGTAAATTATTATTTTTAAAACAATAGTTATTTTTTGTTACATTTATGAAGTGCTCATTAAAAACTTTAGCTATATCTTCTGGCTAGTCAATTACTTTGCAATTGTGTTCTATCTGTTTTATGTATTGTTTTTTTATGTTATTATTGGTCTTTATGAGCTTCCAAGATGTTTTACATATATTACTAGATTTACTGATGATTTTGTTATTCTGAAGTTTTTGTGTATATATATATATATATATATATATATATATATATATATATATATATATATATATATATATATATATATATATATATTCCTTAATACAACTGAATAGTTCTTGTATTTTATCTTATTTCTTAAATTTCGTTTTTTATAATATTTAAATCTATGATAACGTTTTGTTTTACATGCCAAACGTATACCTTTTGTAATCCAAGAATTACTTTTCTGCTTTGAAACCATTTTTATTCTTTTGATTGGGATGCATAAATTATAAAACAATATTATCAAATCTAAGAATATGTTAAAAGCTTCATTTACATCCTTTTTTATTATAAACTTCAGTCCAAGATAGACTATTCAAACAGTTAATCAATTTTGTAATATTTTCGCTACAAAAATCTCTTTTTTTTTTTAATAAAGTAATGTTTTGATTTGTTTACAGTCTTATTTATTGGAACCTCTAGAGATTCTGCCGTATTATGATCTGATAAACCTAAGTGGTGTATCTTGCTCATAGCGTCCGGAACATTGCTAATTATGAGGTCAATTCATGAATTTTATCTCGTAGGTTCAGTTATATGAGATTTGAAACCATAGTTTTAAAGTATTCTGACAAAGTCCTTACATACATTATTTTCTTTCAACATAATAATATTAAAATCTCCCGTTATAATATTTTTTTTATTTATTTTTGATTAAATTTTATGTAATATCTCTTCCAGTTTTTGTATAAATGTAAAGAGATTAGATTTATTGCAATCAGGAATTCTATATAAGCTACTACTATATATATAAGCTACTACTAATATATACTAAACAATTATGTTTGGGTATTTCTATTTCACAACATTCGAAATATTTCTCACAAGTCATATCTTTTAAATATTGTATTTTTTGGTACTCCAAATTATCCCTACATAGAATACATACTCCACCCCGCTTTTGATTTCTAGAATACGAATCAGCAAGCTCAAAGTTATTCAAGTAAAGATTTCGTTCATTACCAATTTGTTTCCGATAAGCAAATGACATCTATATCTCTATAGTCTTTTGATAATTCATCTAGTGTTATTGAAAATAACTCTTGTTTACTGAGAATGCCTGCAATATTTTGGTATAATATTACTAAACTACTCGTATTGTTTGAGGTCTCGAAATAAATGTAACTTTTCTGTCATCAAGAGAAGTATATGTTCTTTTGTTCTTTTTTGGTTTGTTGGAGCTATTAGTTTTTACGCCGCTTTTAATGTTGTGATTTGTTAATGATTCTAGTCCATTTTTGTAGTTAATTTTATACATAATATACACATTTTTTATGTAAGTGTTTTTATATCCTGATAATCAATTTCAATATTTAATTTCATAGATATGGTTTTAATAATTTTGTTTGGTATTGGATTTACTTTGGGATAGTCAATATTTAAAAATGTACAATTTGAATAATTTTGAATTAGCATTTCCAGTTCATAATTTAACTTTTTTACATTCAGATAGGAATTAGTATTTACACTTAATATAAATAAATTGTTGTTTTTAAATTTTGATGATATGTTACATATTTCTGACATAATTTTATATGGGTTCTTGTCATTTGTGCCTATAGATAGTACAATAATGTCATTTTCAGTTATACTTGTTGAACTATAAAAACTAGTCAATATTTGAGATGAAGTAGCATATGGCTTAACAAATCCATGAATACTATAAATATTATTCCATTTACCAAATCTATCCGCTAACATTTTCTCAGTTAATCGATTTACAAGTTCGCCTCCAAATATATGTATTTTACTTATTTTATCATATACTATAGTGCCTGTATTTATTGATTTCTCCGTATTAATGTTTTCATTATAACATAGATTAAACTTTTGTGCACTAACAAAGTCTTCCGATTTACATCTATTTGTACAAGTGCTTCTTGTTTTATTCTTTGATATTTTTTCACTTAGAGGGCTGTTGCATTTTACTTCT